GCATAAATCTAGCTTAAAAACAACAAACTGTGGAGATTGATAACAATATTAACAAACATCAAATAAAGTACCGTACTTAGTAGAATATACTTTTTACTTTCCACCATATTAAATTGTATACCCAACGATATAAACATCTTGTATTAATATTAATGATGACCTAATGCCTTGAAATTTTTTCTTAATGAATGGTAAAGTCTAGATTTAACATTGCATGATTATATGTTAAATAGTGATTAGCTAACGTGTTATTGTTGACATAAAAACGTAGTGAAGTATGTCTAATATTTCTAGTAGAATAAAATCGGCAACTTTAATTCTTACAGAGTAAATTCAGAAAGATTATTATTTCAAAGTATCTGCTAATAAATGTATCTTATCCTTTTTTTAATTTTCTAATAGATAGCAACTGATATTAATAAAAATTAATAATGATTAACAGTAGGGCATAACAATAGTGTATGCCCTGATTTAGATAACAATCATCTCTTCTGAGAATATGATTGCTAGATAGTAAAATATTGTAATTCATTAACATAAAGCGATTACTACCAGTTTAATAGTTAGCTACTGTCACAAATTAGACTATAGACTACCTGTTCATGTCAATATAATCAAAAATTAGGGAGGGATGGGAGGGGGGAATTGCAGTATAATATCTAACAAAAAAAAATTATAATTATTCGTCTACATACGTTTGAATAGATTATTTTCTTTAAAAGCCTTTGATAATACATGATACTATAGGCTATGGTCAGCTATGTAAATAATTCAATAATGAGAGGAGGAGACCACACGTTAGTTAGACTGGAAATTATATTACATGCGGCGGTAAAGTTCCGTACGGTAAACTAAATAAAATTACGGCTATGGATTGATGACTGGCTTTATATTGGCATTCCAGCAATCATCGTTTATCCTCGACTTTGACCTTTGGCCGGAACACTGCAGCATTCAATCTGTATCTAATTAACGAAATAGTACTAGAAGGACCTACCATCGTTGATAATTATAATACATTAGCATGCTAATAAGATATCGCAATAAATTTAAAATTGAACTATGGCACGTTTAGCGTTACTGCAAATAATGATCTGTAAATAATAAACCGGCCGGTACCTACTGCTTTGAGCCAATATTACATGTTTGTAATAAATTATTTTGAATCTATTTTTTAGATTGATCTTCAAAAGGCTAATATGCGTTAACGTATCATCCTTATTTAACGTATGAAAATTACATACGTACAGTAGTATTGGGTATATACTACATTTTATGTCCTATCTAATAACTATAATATATCAACGGCTATAACGCTAATTAATTACTGTATTAGTTTTTAGGTAATTTAAATTTAGCCCTACCAAATTGAATGGAGCAATAAATTGAATTGAATTGAAAGAATCGCTATAAACCCACACTCTTATAATTTTGAAACATTAGAAACTATGATAGGTCTCGCAATCTGGCAATAATATAAAAATATTTAATGTCCATACGTACGTATCTATCAATATTATGAGATAAATTGTCTGAAGCCTATTATCGATAACTTCATTCATTGAAAATTTTAGCATACCAACATTTGGGATAATTTTTTATTTCATATGTTGGGAAGGAGAAATTTAATTCAATTAGCATAACGAGAGCAAAAGACAATATTGTAAAATCTGACGTTATTTTGACCTCGACCTTCACATCTCGCAAATATTTTCAGTAGATTCCATTTCTATTTATATTTACTTGTATGGGTAAGTGCGTAACTGCCTATTCCATATGATTATATAGAGTAAGCTAATAAAGACAAAATCGAGGGTGTTGAGTATAAAGTAACGCCTTTCCGGAAGCCACCAAGGACGATAATTATGATTATAGAATAGCGATTAATTCTTACCAGATATGGATGATATTAGGGCAAATAGTGTTATTTATTTAAGGTTTATACTCTTTTACAAGCCATTTTAGTTTGCCAATTAATTAATTGTCGATTTATCAGTGATGAAATTTTTATTATTATTTTCTTGTCACTGTCAATACATGGTGCATATGTGCAGGATAATATTCTTCAAGGATATCACCGGTATTTTAGCGAATATTATCACTCCCTTGCAGTTTATTTGATGTTATTCATTTTAGTTTGCTATCTTAATTAGTTTGAGATATGGTTAGTGGTTTCCTTTACTTTGACTATGGGCGTTATTTATGGATATTACTTGGGTCACTTCATGAATAAATGAGGATTAGCGCAGATAATAATTTACTGATCTTGACCCCGATGGGTTTCTTAAGTGATATAAATTCGTAAATACTCAGTTTGACGGTATACATTCGATACGTAGTCCGGCATATTCTAGTATTCAGTTGAATATTTTTTCCGGATATTATTACTGTTCAGACTATAAATTAAAGAGAGACAGAACCAGACCATGAAGACCTCTAAGTACAGTACCTTTAACTGACAAAGTGCGTAGTGTCCAGTACTGTGTAGTCCTTTCTACAGACTTGCAGACGGTTATGCACACGATGAGTGTCGTACTCTACAGTAATCTATAATTAACACTTTCAAACTACGTTAACCACTTACACAATAGCCTTCTAATTTATTATTGATTCCGTCAGAGTATGGAAAGATTAATCATAAACGCCAGATGACAGCTAACTTTTATTATTCTATCCACTACAAGTACAGTAATTACTGTTGAAGCCGACTGTAATATTGTATATTATATATTACTTACTTGTACTTTGCGCACCGAACAGGAGTTTAAAAAATTACACTTACAATCGTTCAGATACATTATTCTTTCAAACTGGCAGAGTTCATACACAAGAGATCTCTTTTATTCAACTAAAAAGGCAGATGTATTATTGTACAGTATTTAGGATTCACTTATTATTCACTACTAACAGCCATCAAGATACAAATAAAAGCGATAGATAGCTAATTCTTTTAATGTTAGGATACAGTTTGTAAACCATACTGATTACAAGTTGAAAAAATTCCCAAGTATTGCTTTCTTTTACAATAATTAGTTATTAAATTATTGATTCAACATATCGAACGAAGAACATTTGGTTGAGTTGAAATTCAACCCATCCAATGCTTCAAACATTCACGTAAAGGGGTGAAATAACACGTTAATACCAAAAAACATTTAATTTTATAGCATGAATCCAACATTAAATTATGCGATCCATTTCAAACATTGGGTTAACTAAACCATCTTAACCATACAATCAATTTACCGCGATCCATGTTCATGTTTTATACAATAGATGTGCCCTATAGTCATACTAATATTTTCTTGTCATAATAATAATTATTCAATTTTTATATAAGATATATATATACGTAACAATATATATATACGATATATATAATCTATATACATACAGTATACATATAATAATAAGTCGAAATATTTCAATTCAATGACCCTACTTTTACATTGCCCTTTGGGATGGTTTTGTTAGAGCGTCCATGTGTCACGAGTACAGCATTGGACCCACTGATGGCACCATCTTTCAAGAGATACAATTAAATAGATAGATATGTAAGAAGATTTCTCCAGTCCACTATTTCATTACCATCGATTGCAATAGAAACAATCCAGTAGAATGAAACGTGGCATGAATGGAAACAAAGATTGAATAACGCCAACATAGGATGATATACAGTAGGAGATATTAGGGCTAAATTTGTATATGTCATCATCATAATATGCAATAGAATTAATCAAAATCATTGACATGAAATATGCAGCCATTGCCATTGCTAGCAGCAATAGTCGATTGATACAGTATATATATATTCGTATACGAATATAGATACATTGATCTATATGTGTTCTATACGAGTATATATGTATAAGTACTTATTAGTGTACTCCATCAGGAGTTTTTTCAACATCGCCAGATGACGACGACAATGATAACACTACCAAAACACCTCAGTAATATGCAATATGACAATAACTACAGTACTACATTACCAAGCAGAATAATCGACAATGGTCTACTAAAGTCCTCCCTACTTAAGTGTAGTCAACTTTTTTTTTCTAATTCTAAATATTACTAAAACAACCATGACCTACAGTCTAGAGTATTCTATTACCGCGCGGTGAGACAGCAGTAGTATTATGATTATCATCAATAACAATAATAGTAACGATAATTCAATATCATTATCATAACAATTGTTGGTTATAGTAAATGGTAATAATAAATATCACACAAAAAGTCATTGATTAAGGCAAACAACAGCGCAAGAAAACTGTCACGGTATAAAAAAGAAAATTGAGACAATTAATTTGAAAGAAAAAAAATTCCTTTTGCTATGACGTCCTGTCTAGTGTCCACAAGCACTATTTACTAAGAGTACATTGAACAGGAGTTGCCAGGAGTACCGACTTAATGAGTCCACATTGTCCAATTCAAACTACGCCAGTATGGTATCATGGACCATACAAGGCACATGGACAATGCACTCACCCATGAATAGCAGTTGGTGGACGATATAACGTAATGCACTTTGTGCTCTTTACTATGACAAATTCAAAAAAAAATTTTTCAATAACATTATTTTGCAATGTTGAAGAGAGTAATACTGTACGTCGTTGTGGATGTTGGTACTATCTTTACAATGGGATAAGAAAATGGCAAAACTTTTCAAATGTTTCTTGCATGTCTACTTTTCTTTCTTGTGATGCTATGCAGAATATTATCATTGTACAGTAGTCGATGTAGGCAAATTGCCATCATTTCAATTCATTCATGAATACTATCTTGATCGTTGTAAATTGAAAATAATTTTCCTTTGCATGTGTTGTAGACACTTTGAAATTTTTTTTTCTCTCTTTCGGTCGATGATATAGAATTATTATCGATGTTTTTTTTCTTTCTACAGTAGATCTTTAGTCTCTCTGTCTCTCTGTAGTGTGACAATTTAGTTTGAATTTGATGTTGCTTCTCTAGCCATTGTTGTTGGTAGTATTACTTTATTACACAGAACAATCAATTAATTCTCTCTTCCTTTTACGAGGTAATAATTTTCTGGCATCATGATCACTCTTTGGAGATAGATCTTCACGTTGTTTTTTATCGCATGGCCATGCGACTACTAGGCCAGATGAGTTGGTAACTTGCTGACATAATATGATAGCAGCTTGGATAGACAAAACACGTTCGTGATTTTTTACACCATCAAATGTGTCCCAATAAACACTATGTTCCCAAATATGCTTGGTAAAGCAGACTCTACTCTTATACACTTTATCTAGAATAAGCAGAATAAAAAAAAGCACCAAAATTGAAATTGAATTATTTCAAAATCAAATTGAACTACAGCCAAACAGGATACTATGCTCTCCATTTTTGGGTGATAATTAAGCTTCCAAAAATATTAAAAAAATTTTCTTAATCAAACAAAGAAAACGGTATGCGGTTACAAACACTCGCACATGAATCGTTGAAAAAATTTTCCTTTCCACTAATAGAACTAACACAATATTTTAAACTCTAAATAAGGTAGTCCAAAGCAAGTGTAAAAAGGACTGTTTTTAGCCAACTTACCACAGATACAGCAGATAATTTCGCTACCATCGTAAGATTTATATCGAGTTAAAACTTCCATTACATCGTTCAATTCGAGATCGCGTTTAATTTTTAAATTAGTAGGTGTGGGTGTGACAGAAGCCATACTAGCTCTCTATAGTTTATGACAGATGACCAGCAAGTCAGTAGACAATATACACAGTGTGAGTCTGTATGACCAGAGTACAGTGTTTGGATGAAACAATGCGTTCCAAAGTCTTCAATTTTTTTTTTTCTCTCTCTCCTTCCAGTACCGTATTTTAACAATTACGGCAATGTCGTATGTCCAATTTTTTCTTCTCTAATCCACTACTTTTGGATCCTGACAAATAACCAATGCAAATCTGTCTAAATTCAATTCGACCACGTTAAGCAGAAAATTTCAAGCTATCTACAATGCTTGACCCCAATAATTCAGCTGAACTTTTCCTACGCCGTACAACCAACCAGTGACCGAGAACAATGTTTTCAATTTGTCTGCCACCCTGTCTTCTACACACGCTTAAAACTGTGAATGAAAAGAATGTCCAGTGTTTTTATTGACAATGATGTTATGCAGAGAAAAATTTTTTTTTTTAACTACCAAAAATTCTATAAATGTTTTCTCATGTGATTGGTTGCCTTTATCAACACCGATTGATCGATGCTACTGTATATCAGGCCAATCAATGGTTGGTAACGTCATAAATGGCGGGAAATCAGTATGATAAAAAAAAAAAAAAAAAGATAGTTATGCAAAAAACTCGATTCTGCGTACTTTGGGCTTGATGACGACATGATTCGATTCAATTAATATGGAGCGACGTGGCTGTGGCCTACGTCAGACCGTATGTTGAAGTGGGTTTCCATGTTTGATGGGTCAGACTGTCACCTGACCATCTACAAACTACAGCGCTACGCTCAAGGTACACTCAAATTAGGCCATAGTCCATCCATCGACCTTCATCAATTCATTGAATGACAGTGCACTCATCACCTGTGCTTGGTGTTAGGTAATAGCATGGCCAAGCCATTCAACTGCAGACTTCATCATGCAAATTGGAAATGGATGACACATAAGCTAAAATTAGTTTCCACTTCCAATCAATGCAGGGACAGGGATTACTGAATACTCAAGATAATATTTTATTCCCTCCCCACCAAAAGGAGGAGAGTAAGGAAGCAAGTTTTTCTTGAGTAGCCCACCACACCGCTGTACTGTACGCCGATACGGTCATACGGTAATGAGTACAGTACATGGGTTATCGCTGTTGAATGAATTTAGCGCAAGCGGTTTAATTTAGTAATTCATATAGAAATCCTATTTCATCTTCAACGAACTTTCTACTATGTTCACAAGTTCATGCCATATTTTGATCTTTAGTCTGTAGTCTTTAAAAGGTACATTACTGAAAATGAGTGTGTTACGTGATTATACATAGTTTACTATTTTCATGAAACGGATGTTTTACGAAAGGAAAAAAAAAAATAAATAAATAAATAACGTAATACAGTAAAGTGAAATTTTTCGAATTTACAAATTACTGTACGTACAGTACAGTACAATACGGCGCATAATTGAGATATGACGTAACCAATCTTGTTCAAGACCATACTGTACTGTATTATTATTTATTATTATTATTAGTTATTATAGTACTGTAGATACAATAATGCCTACAGTACAGTACTGTAAATGTTGCATGGTACACTGTACAGTATAGTACTGTACAGTACCAGCTGTAGCGCACGATACTGTACCAAGTGCTAGAATCGAAATCCCATAACGGGACCTACAGTACAGTATCATGTCTACGCTACTGTACACTGTACAGTACTGGATGCGGCACCTTTCAATGAATGAATTTGTTATAAACTGGATCTGTAAATCACTCAAAGACTCGGGTAGACTCCATCATTTTTTCCAATGATTTCATTTCTTGGCTGGTAAGTGGTTATTTTAACGCCTAGAACACAACCGAACAATGATGCAAATGTTGATAGCGGTACATTGTAAGCTGCAGGCTTATTCGCCTTCTGTTACATGATTATTAATCGATTCAATCGAACCAATACGCCAACACTGAGCGCATCGCTGAGACATAGAAGAGAAGAAGAAAAAAAAATGGGCCTGCAGTTCCTTTTATACCTTGGCTTAGATATGCGCTTCAACTTTGTGCTGATTCACTTTTTGCATGGCGTACGTACGTATTGTCATAACATCATGTGAAGTCATCGAGCGTCAACCGCTATCGTTGTACTGTATAGTAGGTCGTGTAGTAGTATCATTCTCCATCAGGTGTCATGGCCGCTTACCAATCGCCAAATCTCTGATAGAGATTTGACGATCAAAAGCGCTAAAATGGCTTTGCACTAAAGCTCCAATAGATGGAATAATTGCAAAATGGCAATAAACAAATCAAGGCTTTACTACCTTGATTGATTCTATTACCAATCGTCAAATCTCTATCAGAGATTTGACGATCAAAAGCGCTAAAATGGCTTTGCACTAAAGCTCCAATAGATGGAGTAATTGCAAAATGGCAACAAACAAATCAAGGCTTTACTGCCTTGATTGATTCTATTACCAGTACAACTTGAAAGCTTGGTAGAGCGCTCTCCACAGTGAGTCAATGATACTGACTGACTGTAGAATAATGTCAGCAAGTAAGGCTCGGGTAGACCTTTGAACCTTTGAACGATACAAGTTGAAATTGATCCATGGGCAATCATGGATAAAATATCAAAGGCTAACATTCAGTACGTCTACAATAATTAATCCATTGACTGTAGTCAAATCATGATGGCCTAACTTGCTTCTATATCGTTAACAAGCAAGTGCAATGGCAACCGGTAATGACCAGCAGAACTTGATAGGCATGATGTCCTACCTATGATATCACAGGCTAAAACTTCATGAAGAAAACTGAAATACTTGGATCAACATAAATATCCTACTTCTATAATCGTCTTAAGCGATTTTGGACTCTGGATTCATGGGATCCACATACCCTAGGTGTACAGTACAGTCTACGGCAACCACTTCTATCCTTGGTTGATCGACACCAGTTGGATATCAACTAGTTTCAATAACATGATGACGAATACTAAAAGTGATTCAACGGACTGACAATGTAAAATAGTCCAGGCATTCTAATATGTAGTGCACTTATGGAATGGCTATTTGAACAAATTAAATAATGATATTGTCCTTATAATTTGGGTCGTCTATAGGATCGACGTTGCAAACGATTGTTTTGATAATAAATCAAATCTATATTGCTCGAAAGACAGTAAAAGTCAGTTTTGCTACACGCCATTGCCTACCTTGCCCTAACATGATGGTGCGAAAGCAACTTTACCCTTCCAACACTTAGTACTATCCTTAAGAAGAAATTTGTAAGTAATATTCTTACCGTACGTACAGTATATGGATATGCATTTCAATAGAGCCATTGACTTAATTTGGCTATTAATTAGTTGTTGCAGTGATTATTTATTTACGCCTTCTAGACGTAGTGTGTTAATGAACACCGTACACCACTTTCCTTGAGTATGAAGAATGAGGCAACCAAATTGACCGATAGTATTGCAATAGCTATTCGTGTTTATTTACCTGCCATGACTACAGTATATAGTACAACAGTCTCTATTTTCATGCAATCATGCATTATTTCAATATCGCAAATCAACCTTAGTCAAATGCCTTACTGGTTGTATTGCTACTCATAAACGAGTAGAAAGACGTTCTTGAAAATCTATTCATGCTATACTACACCTGTAGACGTATGTATCAAGTTATTAATCCATCTATCATTGCAGTATCGACATTTTTTGCAACACTTATTCCCACTGTAATGAGCTAAAATAGATGAAATAATATAGGATTGATACGATATTATATTAACTCCATCTGCGGTAGATATAAATGATACAGTCACGTATTATATAATTATAGAGCCAAATCAATCTTATTTCCCTTTGCCTACTCTTATGTAAGGAAATTCAACTGGTGTGAATGATGAGTTGGCAATGTATATGAAGAAATCTCGAATAACTATGTCCACACATATATGATCATTATTCATTAGACAGTACAATCAAAACAGCATGTCAAGCCATTTATATTTGTGTGTATGATGAATTGGTTATCAACTCATCTTATATGATGGAATCCCCGTTTTAGCAGCATCGTCAAGTAAACCTTAATAAACATACTGCAATTAGGGATTGTAAATATCCTCTTTGGTATTAGAATTACCCAAGTATGAAAACTCAGGTGCAATCGCTAACTACAATACAGGTTTTGAAAGACAGTGTTTTTACTGCTCCAAATCCTCTAGTGTTAACTGTACAACGAGTCTACGTACCGTACTACATGGTTAAGATATCAAATAGATTATATATATACACTACCCGATTTTCTCTCAACTTATCCATCTGATTGATTAGTGCTAACCTTGACCTGATTGAAGGATATTAACTTCGGAACATCAGTTGCAATGCACGCATTACAAATAATTGTCATATGGATTTACTAAATCATACGTTACGCGGCATGATTGTGTACTTATGCTGATTCTATAATTCGCCATATGCTATCATCACATGAAAGTATAGCATATTCTGTCGCATCAATTCTCGAGATAATTTTGCATTTGGATAACCAAATAGCTTCTAGAGGCTACTTTCTCGAGAGTAGAATACTCTATAAATTAATAATCATATTAATTCGTTTATGTATTTGTGGAACATAATTCTTGGTCAATTCCTCCATTGCATAATTTAGATATTTGAGTTGAAAGGTAAGTACTGTGCAATCCGTATTTACTATTACGAATAATTTAGCTACAAGGTAGTGAAGGAAAGGCGAATTTATTAATCCTTTCTGAATATTTCTATGATAAAATTATAATTCTCTTACCGTAGTTCGACATAATAGAGTGTGTTTGATCTCTATAACGGTCTTTATTTCTCGTATTACTGTATTAAATTAAGAGATTAATAAAAGTTGTTTTAGTTTCCGTAGCTTGATAAATTTTAACTATTATAGCTCGAGGATATCTTTAAACCAGGTATAAATCGTACCATTTCTTCTTTATAGTCAATAAAATAGCTAAGTTATCTCATACTTATTACAAACATTGGATCAGATTATCTCTTATGTACTCTTACATCCGTAAATTTTTAACCTAAGATATTGGTCTTTATAGATTGTAGCAATATTACGTCCTGGTACTAGATTAATTCTTATTAGTTATAAGATTACAATACTTTTAAACAATAATTATCTAGAACATAAAATACCTGAATTAGCGTTCGTATCGTATCAGCATGTGTCAATGCAAATGAACTCCTTGATGCCTATTCAAAGCATTGCCTATAACACTTTTAGCAGTAGCAAAATATAGTATCTGCAGGTCTTCATTCATTGCCCATATCCTTACTAATATAAGCCTATGCACATGGAAGACACACATCATATTTCTTGTCGGATTAATTATCAGAAATTATAATCATTTTCTCCTAGTTAGCTATCGTAGTATGCTTTTGCTACTAATTAGTCAATTAGTTGGTTGGTGTTAATGTGGTCACGATTGCCTGTGATAAATATTAATTGTAAGATTTATGTATGTATAATGCTGATTAGCTTTAACTTATCTTCTAGGTTGATATATAGAGATTTCCTTGGATTTTAGCTACAAGTATATAAGATGCCTACAATACTTGATACAGATGTTAATGAAAATGAAGATCTTGAAGGAAAACAAACTGGTGTTCATGTAGGCAAAAAGCGGCAGATGAAGTCGGCCAAGGTAGAGGAGATAAAAAGCGAGAAAAGAGAATGGCTTAGTGCAGCATGGAAAGGTGTCAAACCTTGGTCCGCCTTCGTAACATGTAATAAATTTTCTAAACCGCAAAGTATTTCTGATGTTGGAAAGCGTCTAGTAACCAATATTCGATTCTACTGGTGGAATTATATCTTCATAACCCTCTTTTTAATGATTTTTTGTATGTAAGTGCGAGAATTAAAGCAAAAGTATAGAGATAGTTCTTTTATGTTGATCAAAAGTGTCATTATCGTATCTACTATGTGAGCCGTAGAGGTAAAAGAAAGAGCTTTGCGCCAAGCTAACATGTTCATTTTACTAATTAGACTCCAAATAATCTATTCTTATGTCTATAACTGTAATCTATATTAATTTTTAATTAACTAAAATAATCTTAGCTACGCATCTTATTGGCAGTATTGTTGATATCGTACCCAGTACGTAAATCATCCACATCATGATGGTTTCTTTTATAAGTTCATTGAATCTCTAATACTGTGCCCAGTTACTTCATACTAGCTAATGCACGTCTGAAATTGATATCTTGTCCAGAATTACCTCACCTATGCTGCTTTTGGCATTGTGTGCAACAGCAGCCGGCTGTTACTGGATTAATACTCGCTGCAAAGGAGAAAAAACCAAATTTTGCGGTACTTATAGAATGGATTGCATATTTCCTTCACTTGAATTATCTAATACCGTTTGCTTGTCGTCATTTCCTAACATTACTAATAACTAAGACTGTAAAATTTTCTTTTGTTGTAGGCCATGAATTTGATAAAACTGAACAGTACGGACTCGTTTGTTTAATCACTTTACCATTATATATCTTTGCATCTGCTGGTTCAACTATTTTTTGGCTCACGGGTATATTATTCTTTTTATGTCCATTTGTGGAATTAAAATTTTTATTTACCAAATTACTGTATCGTAAAAGGCAAATTATTTTACTGTTAATACCACCATCGACGATAACTCGATAGCCAAATCAATCGTAATTTGATATATTTATTTGTATATCCCTAGGTCTTGTAGCTTTCATAGTTTTCTTTCACGCTACATTTACCCTATCGGAGGATGAGATTCTTCCACCACCAGGCACAGAAATGGTATAATTATACCGCCGCCGAAAATTTTTTACCGAATGATTAATTATAAATAACGTGTTAAATAATCGTAAGAATTATTAGAAATAATATTACGTATATAATATGTAAAATATATATATTAAATAATGCGATTGTTCATTGCTAGATAATCATATGCCTGTATATTATCGCTTCGATTTATTAATATAATACAAGCTGTATAATATATTGCTTTATGACATTCAACTACTATAATTAGATCAATAACCGATGGTAAATTAAGCGTGTAAGTTAGGTAAATTACTTGTTACATATTGCGGGTATATCAAACTTGACTGGTGATACGTTGGCTCCTTGTTACCTTGTATTGTTAAGGAATATGAGAATAATTAACGCAACCAATCGTGAAAAATATGAAGTTACATTCGAAAAATTAATAGTGTATTTATAAATATATCAATACCATCACTGACAGATAACAAAATATTACACCGAATATGTTGTAAAAAGTGCAACTACTACATTCAATATTTACTTCTACAGAAAGGAAGTGTACTTTTTTAATACCTGTAATTCTTAAAAGTTGTTTCGTTATAAAGTAAACACTAAACGTCCGGGTATTAAAAACCAGTACAAAATATTACGGTAATCGGTTCCTTCAGTGGTTATTGATGCAATTTTAGCTGTCACTAACCTCTAAAAATTTCATTTATCACGATCTAGCGGTAGTGAATTTTTGTGAAATAAAATAAGAGTACCTATTGATGTAAGAATTTAAAATTATTGTTTATGATATATTTGAAGGTACTGACAGCATAACATGTAGTAAAAACCAAAAGTCTCGATCTTACAATGTTTCATGGCAACAGACTGATGAGTGCAGGCCTCATCGATATAATGCTCAAACTTTTTACTACATTCTTTTATGATCCAGAAGCGTAATATCGAAAGTTTAACATGATACCGAAAAGACTGCGATTCGCCATTCACATAAGATCAGATCATATAATAGCAGCTTTATCTTTACCTAGTTACATAATTATTTATGATAAAATATGTAGCTATCGATGTCACGAAAAATTTAGTAATTTAATACATATTCTGCGGTCTTTCCTGGCAATCTTCTTGCTAAATTATAGTTACATCAAATAATGATAAAACTTTTCCATTACCGATACAACATGACGTTGATATTTTTATATGTATTCTTTCTCCCCAAATACGATTTTCTGTACTCCATTATTAGATATTCAAGGATAAAAAATTAGTCATCTATAGTATATTATTACTTCGATATCCTAAACCATTGCACAATTAGCAATTTTATTTCTCAACATTAAATTTAGACTTTCACGACACGATAGGTTGATTAAAAAAAGCAACTGACTGGTGGTATAGTTCTAACGACTACCGTCTAGTCTACAGTCAAATCTGTGAACTTTCAGCCTCTATTTCATATGGTTTAATTGAATACTTCCAGTAACTGGTAACGATTTTAAACCGCATTATATCAAAAACTCACATCGTACATTTTGATATTGTCCAAGGTCTGTAAATTTGCTATTAACTACTCATAACGTCTTTCAGATGTGTACAGTTCCTAGTTGCACTATCATGTACTTAGTTGGACAGTAGGTTTACAATAACAACAATAAATGAAACTCCTTTATCATTGCCTGAGATATTTGGAAATTAAAAAATACCAAGTATTAAATCTTACTCCTTGTACTTAAGCAAATGTAATAAATTTGTTCAGAAGGAAAAAACTTGAAGTATTAATTCTATTTATAATTATAGCGTTATATAATCAGTTGCTCAGGCCGATTGATTCTAGCCAGTATTTTAAAAATATATATTCATATTTCTAGCGACAGATAGTGTTCAATGTTTGCATGGTTATTCCTCTTTAGATATGATACATACGCATAAATACAAACCCTGAAGACTATTCTCTTCGAAGTTTAGGTGGTTATTTTTATACTTATTAAATCCGTCAAAAAGTCGATCAAAAATACATCGTAGCAAGGCGTAACCTTTATTATCATTTAATGTGCATTGATAAGTGTATTATAATGTAGATATAGTCTACACAAATAGATGTATGCTGTAAATATAGTATATCGTATACGTGCATACTGTGTAATGTACAGTACATATAAGCGTGTCTACTAATAAGTTGTATACTCGCAAATAGGTTTATTTTTTACATATATAGTACAGTCTATATTGTTATATAGCGTTGATAAATAAAAAAATTAAATCAGTCGGCGTTATTTAGTCGGTAATGTATAATATTTTCCTCGAAATAGTAATTTATATACCGAAAATGTCCCCGATAAAATATTTTAAGGCAGTTACAGTAACAGTTTTGATTTTCTTGATATAAAAACACATCGCTTCTCTTTGAGGAGTAATTCTTGTTCTAATTTAATAGGACTAGTTATTGAGCTTACCGCAGATAAAAAAATAACTTTAATTTAGTCTTATTATAGAATAATAAATGAAAATAATTTGTGTATTAAGAGATCTCTATTCATTTACTGAATTTCGTTAGTTCTATAGATATTCAATGTCAAATAGCAACTTGTTAAATTGCATATTTATAAGTCCTAGGCATAAATACTACCACATCTAGGGCCATTTTAATGATGAAAGGAATAAATAACTCGACAGGATAAAATTACACATTTGTCTCATAAACGATATGCCTCGTAGTAGGCGTAACATTTGCTTGATAGTTGGTATCAATAGAATTACTACCACTATCATTGTCGCCATCATAGGCAGTAGCGTTGTTGGCTGTATCTATGCTTTTCTTTTGGTGTTTAATCAATTTCTTGAAAAGATTATACTTAGACGATTTGCTTGCTTCATGAGATGTTGAATGAATGAACGTTGATGCAACACATAGTTTTGTATTGCATCCAGCTGGTAGTTGAATCATAAATGTTCCTAATTGGACGTTTTTATTTCTCATTTGCTGAACGCATAATGGCGCCTTCATTGCTTCACCTTCTACGCTACCACTGCGTTCATTTTCATATAGAAGATGGAATATCTGATATGGTCTACTTTTCATATCTTCTACAGCTTCTTGCCTTTGGAGCACAACTCGGTATTGTTTCACTTTCCAAATCAGTAAGGCTATACCAAAGGCTAAAAATAACGAAGTAAAGAACGCTGCTAGAAAAATAAGCATATTAAAGCTTGAATATGGCTGATCAAAATGGATTGTAGCGAAAGATTGTTCATGATGTCTAGTTGGAAAAATGGTTACGTAAAAATCACTTTCTTGGACTTTAGAAGTTCCAGTTTTGGGTATGATTATTGTAGTTTTGAAGGAAACTCCTTTCAGTTTAACGATTTCCCTTTTAAATATTATATAATTTTGATGTCTTTCCTTTGAAATGTCAATCTCAGTCATAGCTGATTTACTTATATTCACTAAATTAATGTATCTACCATTTATTCCGTGGTCAATAAGCACTACCTCTGACTTCTTCGCAATGTAGATATCGGCTGTTGCATTATAGATGGAGACAGTAATACGTATATCCACGTTGGAATAGATAGATGAGATATGAAAATTAGTGGATAAATTTACTGCTGATAATGGTTCTTTTTCAATTAAGCCTCTCTGTATTTCAAGTTCTTTATAACATTGGCGACCACCTATCCCTTCGCCCTTGTAACCAGCTTGACATTTCGAACACTAGTTCCGTATAAAAATTGTATAAATGAAATAAAAAATGAGATAAGACTTAAAGAAAAAACAGTAGTCTGTTTATATATATATATTATTTGTCTTAATCATCAGTTTAGGCAGGAATATCAATTAATGTGAAATGAGATAAATCTGTGAACTGTTACAATTTGATTAACCTGTCGGTATCGACAATCTGAAGTGGTATGATCGCACGGTGATATTGTTTTATCTGCACAAGAACAATTTAATCCATCGAATTTGTTGCATGCTAATCCATGTCCATTACATTCACATCTGAAGGAAGAACAAAGTCGTGAAATAAGAACATATGAAATGTACAGTATAACGAAGGAAATATATTTCATCAATTTATACAATATCCTTAGATTATCTATTCCACTATTATAAATTTTAAATACTAATCACTTTTGTAGATAAATAATTAATACTTGGCCAAAGGTGTATAAAATTCTATACCTTTGACAAGGTGAACTTTCGTGTAAGCGAAAGAATCCAGTCTTGCATTGATCACACTTCTTTCCCTCCATATTACCACTACAATTCAAACAGATAGCATCCTGCTGATTCGGGCCTATACTTTGCTTCTTTAATATCTAAAGAAATAAATGTAAGCTTATAACTTCATTCTTTGGTGACATTAGAATACTATAAAAGCTAAAGATATTTATCAGATAACAATATAACATGATTTAAATGTGACTGACCTCTTTCAGGCTTGGAAATACACCATCAGATCGCAAACTTTTGTATTGGTCATCCGATACACATATATTGCTATGGTAGTTACAAAATTTTAAACAGGACGTACATATTGAATCATTGTTATGCATGGATTTTACAAATAATGGCTTGCATTCATGGCAATATTTTCCCTGAAATTTGTGAAGAATTAGATATTTATCAAAACACATTTCAATACCATACACATAATATATCACACTAATTAAACAATAAATAGCAGAATTTCGAAGTATTTTCTTACCTGAGAATTGTTGTGACACTTTAAGCATATATCAGTATGAGTAGTATTCGGACAAGTAGAATGACTATTACAGTTACATTTCTTTTCGCAATATTCTCCGACATAACCAGTATAGCAACTACAGTTATTAGGCTGAGTGCAATATCCATGATGATTGCAGCGATCTTTGCAAATAGGCATGCATTTTTCTCTATTTGGATGATAGTAAATAATATAATTAGAGCATATGTTTACATTTAATTAACATTTTCAATTTATCTTTAAGCATCTACTTGATTTATTACGTTGGTTCACCAACTCACCCTCGCAATTCATATCCGGCGACACAACTACAAATAAAAGAAGTAGGAGTATCTATGCAATTTTCAACATCAACACAGTCATGATTGCCATTTTCACACTCATTCTCCATAGGGCAAGAAAGGACATTCCAAGATGTAAAGCTTTTACTTAGTGCAGAGCTTGGGAAAATATCATTTAAGCACTGCTTCTGCATGGATGATTCCATGCAAATTCCTACCAAATTAAGAATTATGACAATATTACCACGAATAACAAATTAATAATTTGTATCTTAGAATGTATTATAAATATATATATTCGTTTCATTTACGCAAGATGCAATAGATTTAAGAATAATCGTAACCTTGCCCCGAGTAATTTCCTAAGGTATATTTTGCACACCAGGAGCAGTTCAATTGGCTATTGCAACTTCTACAATTCTTAAAGTTCCTACATGGACGAGGGCAATGATTAGGGCTGCTCAACAATTGGCCACAAGTTCCTCCAGCACAGATCAATGGAAGGGCACTCGGAGGTAGACATTTTGACTTGGAAATACTCCAAACACAGTGACCAGATACTTCATCGGCTAACTGTCCAGTACATTCATAACAACTTTTACGATTTTGGCAAATCGATGGGCAAGAATCATTAATGACACTATTTGTGGTTATGTGTTGTGCAGGTTCGCATGCATACGACGTACTAGTACTAAAAACTGTCTTATGGAATAGTGAATAATCTTTAACTGATTTCCAAGAGCAACTACATGAATGGCATGATGGTGAATTGCACCTTCTTTCTTTACAGCTACTAGCAGTAGTCATTTTTGTAAGAGAACTGGTTTCACAAGGACCTTTTGTTCTTGTAATCAAATTAGCAATTTCTCTCGGATCTGTGTTGACAGATCGACACATTTTGATTCCGCAACCGGTAAACCAAGCACAATTATCACTGGATAAACATTCAATGCAATTACTATATCTTTGACAAAAATCAATCAGTCTTGGACTAGATTTAATGCAGTCGGGGCCATTATCTGACTCAGAAAAACAACCAGCTTTAGTAGGACACCAACTACATCGTACACTACACCAAGGACAAAGTTGTTGATTAATAGAAGTGTCACCGGTACATTCCTGGTAGTTATCAATCAGTTGGCATGTATCATTCGTTAAAGTTAAAGAATATGCTCTACTAAATGGTTGCCCATTGAATCCACCAAGTAATAAAACGCTCCCAGAACGAACTATTGCATGTACATTGATAAATGGAATAGGCCGCTCGCTAAATACGCAGTTTTCTATGCAAGTTATACAAAATCAAAAAAAGATTAATTAATTAGTAATCGTTTATTTTATAGCGTAATCATTGATAGCTTTTACAAACATACTTTCGAGAAATTTATTGAAAAATAACAACTTTTTAGACTTACTTGAAGGATGAATGGCTCGCCAAATTCCGAATCTTAAATTAAAGGCTGCGACGTTATTCGAATAACTCGATGTCGCATATATAGAGGGATTTTGATCATTTGAAAAGCTTCCACCAAATACATACATGTTATGTTCGTAAAGAACTGCAGAATGAAATAATCGGCTAGCTCCATTAGCACCAAAAAGTACCGAAAATTTCAAGTTGTTAACATTCAGTTTCAAGATTCGGGAAGACATAGATTCATTTCCTATCCAGTATCCGAAACCTCCGTAGACGTAGATACTTTCACTTGTTGGATAATATATCGCGCTATGACCGTATATACCTATTTAACATTAGCATTATCTAATTACGACCTTATACTTAACAATGTCTATTTTACTATTACCTACTGTCTCTAACTAATCTGTAAGATGTTAGCATGACTACATATTGTTAGGGCTGGAAAAAAATTGAAGATAGGTTAATTTATTGTACCTGCTGGAGGTGTTCCAAAGGTTGAGGCAAGACTGGATTTTCTGGTGTCAATAGAGTAAATCTCTTCCTCAGTTACATAGCCCTGACTGTCCGAATATCCACCAATAATATAAACCTTGCCTTTTGCTATCGTAGCAGTATGTCCAGCACGCCGACGAAGCATGTTCTAATTATAATATGTGTAGTATAATGATGTTTAATGTTTATCCATTTTACCAGCTATCACATAAATACCTGTATTACTCACCGAGCTTTGCACCCAAACATGATTGACGATATCATAGTGCCAGATTTGATTACTAATTATTCCATCATCGGTTATACCGCCGAAAATTATCATTTCATCCTAGACGAAAATTAAAGCAATTTGCAGCTATCCGTTTTGATCACTATTTTTGTTATATTATTCTATTCTATTCAAGGATTGGATTATTTACCTTATAAACTACAGCGCTGTGGAAATATCTACCAACAGGGTAAGTACTTTTCAATGAAGCAACAATTTTCAGGGTTTTCATATCCGTAGATAGTTGATAGTGTTGAACTATATTTGAAATTCCCTTTCCTACCTGGTAGCCACCAAATGTTATAATCGCAGAATTTTGATGATAAACTACCGAATGACCCAAAAGGCTTGAAAAGTCTGCATCATTCGACGGTGTTGATATTAAAGTATTCCAAAGTAACTGTTTCGATTTTAACCTTGACATACAATCAACTCCATAAAAGCCCCTGAGACAATCGCATTTACCTGTAATCTAAATTCCATTTATGTAAAAAATATTCAGCCTTTTATATGCCTATTTATCGAAGTCTTAATGGTTGATAATTAAAATTTAGATTTACCTTATTGCATTTTCCTCCTTGACCTTGTTCATTACATTGATTTGGGCACCGTAACTGATCACATAGTAGTCCTAAATAACCGTCCAAACACTTACAGATACCTCCTTCACAACGTCTATTGCCTAAACAGTCACTATTACGGCGACAATGATTGTGCTTAATAAATGCTTTAAACATTGCATCCGAAGTTGATCGGAGATTTGTAACCACTACCGTCAAAACCCCAGTGGTAGATGTTATAGGTTTTGGAGTTTCTTGACCACAGAATGAAGCCAATAAGTTACCTAAAAATAACCAGAGAAAGGAATATAAATACAACACTCTCTGTATGAATAATAACGCAATTACATTGATTATTGTATGTGTATGTTGTATAACCTGATGCCTGATCGATTCTACTCGTATTTGCAAATGGATAGCCATCGTAAATATGAACAAACTGAATTGAACACAAGGTATTAAATGTATCCACAAATTCTATATAGATATGTTCATTTGTACCACGTTGAGATTGACTAGTATAGAGGCTATTCTCCATAGACGTTGCAATTGTCCATATACAAGTATTATGTCGATTTCTTTTTTGTAAACTTGACGGCAATATACCAATAGCGGTAGTAGAATTGGATACAATTAAAGTTCGACCATCGCATTCGCGATAACATATACCACCATTTCTATTAATAGTTAATAAGGATAAGCAATTACTAAAATTACAAACAGAATATAATTTTAAATGAAATTGACAATCTTTTTTCCACATACTTTGGGTCACCAAAATATCCCAGGGCACATACTTCACAATGTTTTCCTGTAGTACTGTTATCACAATGGCAATGACCAGTAACTATATTACATGTCTGACTATGACCATGGCATTGGCAAGGAACGCAACTTCCACCATTTTCAGGGTTACCATAAAATCCAATGCGACAATGTTCGCACTTGGGCCCAGCTGTATTTGCTATAGATTGCATAGGAATTTGTATGTATAGTTTGTATCAGTAATAAATTGATAATAAATCAAGTAAAAGCAACACTCGTTGTAAGATACATTCTGATACCTTCACATTGATCACAGATTCCAACACCTTTATTACATGTACTGCGTTTATTACAACCACAATCGATATTGCAAGTAGGTCCTGTCCAACCTTTCTTACATTGACATTTGAATGGTGGCTTTTGGGGACATTCTCCGTTAATACATTCTTCATAGCAACTATAGAATTGAAAAACCCGTCATTCATGACAGACTAGTTCGCTACTCCAAATTTAAGTTACTACTTGCGAATAGAGTACTAACGTTTCGTGACATTGGAAACCATCGCCAATGAAACCTCGATTACATTTGCATTCATAACCGTTTGAGGTATCGGAGCAGGTAGCATTTTGATGGCATTTATGTAGGTTTAGTTGACATTCATTAATAATTGGACAAGATTGGTAGTGCCACGTAATATTTGTTCCTGTGGGCATAATAGCATTACAGGACTGTTGGAAAGATGAGTTTGCATCACCTTTTAAGCATCTAGAAGTAAATTGATCCAATATACAAACACGTACCGTTATTGTAACATTTACAAATAAGAAAAAAGGAATTATCAACAAGATCCTACATATTATTTCAACACTGATTCATATTTAAACGGAGAGCATAATTAAAGCCTTACTTTCCATTATAGGGGTTAGCACTAGTTGCACACCAACCACATGTACGGTCTGTGATGCAATTACGACATAGAGTATGTTGAGAGCAATTTCTGCAGGTACTGTAAAAATATTAGTTAAAATTAGCGTCGATGTAATAATAAATCATAAAGTAGCATAAGTTTTTTATTAACTCACGATGCAGCTCCAATTTGCCAGTCTGAACATTCGCCAAATCGAAAGGTACTCGCACGGGTATGTCGATCATAGCATCGATTTAAGTTATAGCACCAACCACAACTTTGATCAGACAGACATGAGCTACAACTTTTTCTTTTCGCACATGATGGCTTACATAACTCATTAGAATCAACATACTTGACCCCTGTGTGAATTTTCACACCAACACATTTTGAAGTTGTCGGTAACCATACACAATTAGCCTGCAACAATGATATAGATATTTTTTAATGTCAATTCTGAATAACCCTTTACGTTTAATAATAAATAGCATCATTTAAGTTGTTGGTTCATGGTAAATGTAGCTGTATCATAATTGTGTTATTATTTATATATTCGTAAATACAAGATCTGAGTTAAAATCCTATTTATCCACTTACCGAGGTGCAACTACCACATGTAAAGTGATCCTGACATGTCATACATAGATTTTTACTGTAGATCAAATAAGCACTATCACTATGATGTGGTCGACAAGAAGTATTTCCTTCTCGAAGTAAGCATGAGGATTTAATTGGACACCATGCACAACTACTATCGGAAATACAAGTCATACAGTCTGAGTAAATTAAACAATTGCCGAATCGATATGGTTCTAGAACTCTTTGCGTTATAACCTAGAAAAAAATGATCGATAACATGTATATATGTTTATTAGTATTTCATGTACATCTTTGATCATTGTTCATTGTATAGACTATTAGCAATGCAAAATATGTCTGTGATAACCTTCGCTTTCTGGGATTTAATTCCTGCATTCCATTCTAATCGCAATCGAGCCTCACTCACTTCAGGATCTTCGTTCCAAGGGGTACATTTAATTTGTAAAGCATACTTTTGATTGGGTTCCCCATTAGTAGACAAAACGTTTGGTTCTGAGCCATGAGGGATAGTAACAGATTCATAATATTGATCTTTGTAACCTACTCGACCTACAGTTTTCTAGAGTTTTAATAAATAAAGTTTCAATTAGTCTAGATTTACTCTCACACGTTATTAACGGTTTTGTTCATCGATTATCGAAAATTTAAAATATATGTGGCATTATTTATTGACAGCAGCTTTGAAATTATGACGATTATCAATAATTACCAAATTTGTTGGATCAGAAGTAGTTCCAAATTTTAAATCACAAGATTGGTAAGAGCTTCCAAGACGAAACTGAAATTGGCTATCTTGTGAAGGAATTTGATACGGATAGAACTGTCCACGAAGTTGGATGGCTGGATTATTCTTTATATTCGAATTAATCGCCCATGTTGTAAGAGCTGTTGGTGTAAAGAATAAATCATCTACGATTGTAAAATTGTAATAGGGTAGCAAATTGCTTGTATAACGTCGGTAATGTCGAGTTATTGTTAATCCAACTTCTATGTCTTGGGTGATGCACTGATCAGCATCTTTTACGTAAGATGATATATTACTGGCTAACCCAGCAAATTTTGGACATGAAATACTATTTTCATTGCAAGTTTTACTAGAACTACACCAATAGCATAAATTGCCACTAAAAGTATTACAAGTTTGGCAAGATTGAAAAAGTTTGCAAGGATTGGAACAAGTTGGAAGGCGCCAAGTAGATTTGCAGATTTTAAGCCTTTTATAACGACTAATTTCGCTTCTGCTAAGGCAAAGTGACGACAATGAACTACTGGCTAAACTTGTTGAATTAAGCTCGTTACATTGTACACAGTTGAGATCGTCTAAACATGAATAATCTTCATGCGATAGGCAATGTGAATAGATATGCGAACCATCGTTTAAGGTAATGGAGTATTTATCTGATTTTTTATTGATTCTTGTAGATATCGTCGGTGGTATTTTGTAAGCTACAACTTGATTAGTGATAGTACCAGAGAAGCCACCAATAATTAGCATCAATTTATCATCTATACCCAGTGCTACATGAGATGATCGACCACTTAAAGTGATTGACTTGGTAAATAGTGAAGTTTTTACCCATTGATGGCAATCAAGATGGAAGATGTACAATTTGTCATTAATACATTTTTGATCAGTATTGGAAAATTTGGGGCTACCACCTGATGGAGAGAAATACGAAAATTTATTTTTAAGACTTTCGAAATTTATTAATAGCGTACATACTTGGATTTAAAACTAACCATAAATAAGTAAATAGTTATGCACTAGCGTTGTCGTATGATAAGCCATTGGAGGGGACGCAGTCAATGGAGCTACATCTTTATCTTCGATCTTGGTCCACAGTCCGGATTGAAAGTGTAAAGCATAAATAGTATTTTGCATAGATCCAACACTAAAGTTGTAATAAATTAACGGGTAGAATTATTAAACAACAAGTATGTTAATTAAAACATTGATTTTAATCCGATAAGTTGCTCAAAAATTTTACCTTTTATAGTTTAATTTCCATCCGCCAAAGATAATTAAAGATTTCATAGGTTTGTAATAAACTGTGGTGTGACCAATAAGACGTTTTGCACCATATGGATCTCCCAGTGTGTAAAACAAAAACCATTTGGCTTTGTCTAAACCATGAGATAAATCTAGCATGTAAGCATTGGGATTTGCGATATTACCATCTACTCGCCGTCCTGTAAAACATTGATGCCGATGCTTAGCGAAATGGAAACATTGCACAATATCCTCGGTATAAATACTATTATGTAGATTATGTGCTGGAATTAAAATTTGCTTATAGCAACACCACGGCAATAATATTGTAAATCATACCTCCAATAATAACCAATTTATTTTCTACTAAAGTAGCAGTATGAGAGGCCATAGGTTCTGGTGCTTCTGAATTTTTGATTGTCAATAAACTCCAGTGCTCAGAAGTGGTATTAAATAGCCACAACTCATTCGTTAATTCGCCATTCGATAGTTCACCGCCAAACATCAGTAGGTGATCATTAAAGTTAGCAATGGTATGAAACCTTCGCCCGGCCTAATAGAATAAAAGTCAAAGATAAAGGCAGCTGTAGTGATAATAATTTATGGTAGAGATTTTAAAAAGAAATTATTACTTACAGGTCGAGGACTTTCAAGTGTTACAGTTGTCCATGCATTAGTTAAGAGAGAGTATTTACATAAACTATCAATAGTTCCATTGGCAAGAGAAAAACCTAACAGTTACAGTTATGATTTAGATGAGTAGGAAACTTGATGACATACAACTAGTAAATAATCAACAACACTGATATATAATAAAATTTTATATTAAAGATCAATATAAATGCGCATAAAAGGGAGTTCATAAATGATAAGCATCGCAGTTGATAACTATTCTGATTTTTTAATTCTAATCAGTAATTCTGTTTATACCTCCAAAAACCCAAACCGTTTGGCTTTTTCGGACGTAAATTCCCGCATGACCAGCTCTAGGGTTTTCTAAATCCAACGTAGCACCAATCCAGCTATCTTCAGAGTTATCTGCTGTGTCAAGTCTTAAGCTACAATTTCTTCCAATAACTCCAGCATCACAAATACACCGCTGTTCCTTCTATAATATACCGCAAGGTCAAGTTGACAGAAATATTAGAAATAACTATTTTTTAACATTCATATTTCAAATCTTTCAAAGCAATCTTCTAAATTTCTACTAATATTGTTGTACTGGTATAAATGATTTATAATTTAAGGAAAGAGTATGAATAATAAAGATAACTAATGGTTAATTACCGCATCACAGTATCCGTAATTTTGATTTTTTAGACAATCATTAGGGCACGATCTGATATCGCATGCACGACCAAGCCAGCCATTTTGGCATTGACATATACCACTAATGCAGTTGCCTCTGTTGGAGCAGTTGTTTGGACAAGGCGTAATCGTGTACTTTGATGAAAATCCTAAACCTTGCATTGAACTTTGGCTAACTAGAACGATTAACATCTGCGAAATATAGCAAAATATACGTAGTGTTCATTAAGATACATTTCAATTTATCCTACTTTCGCTTCAATAATTAAAATGTTCTTTCTAAACTGTATTGCAATTAGTAAATAGGCGTTTATTTGATCGATTATATTAATTGCTTGTACGATAGAAGCGTTATAACGGATTGGATATTGCATATGACGTAAATTTTCTATGGTATGAATGTCTACCTGTTATACTGTATAATACATACCTGACCAGAATAAGCATAATAGTCGGTAACTATCGAATAATCATGGCCACTCAATGATGCAATCATAGGAGACTCAAGGCTGCTACTGCCATCGTAAATATAGACAAATTGGTCTAAACATTTCGTCTCGAAATAAGTAATGGATAATTTGATGCTACTAGTAATCTCGTTGGCTAAGATACGTAGCGAATTTTCAATGATAAGGATAATTCCACATATTTGCCAATGGGAAATGATGCAGATGAAATATAAATATAAAATAGATCATGAGGATAGAATTAATGAGAAGGAGTTTACTTAGCAAGACTCAATAGTAGTACCTTTAAGAATATTATTATAAATGGTATGAAATAAGATCAACATCATATTAGTCCTTACAGTCTAGTTCTATTTTTACATCATTGATTATATACTAATATGTAATTGGTTCCGATCAAGAATTACTCGATAAATAAATTAGTATTTGCCTGTTTTACGAAAGTTATATCATATACTTATACATAATATAGATGATAAGTGTTTTAAATCTTCCTACATTGAGAAGAATATAAGTATCGAACCTGTTTTATAGAAGTTATACGGTATAGTTATACATAATATAGCTGAAATTAAAAGTGTTTTAAATCTTCGTTCATGTCAAGGATACTCGTGTAGAACCTGTTTTATAGCATTATACTGTATAGCTATTTACACCTAAAAATGTTTTAAATTTTCCTACGTGCAACTAATAGAGTGGATGCTCAGCGAGAACCTACTTTTAGACAGTTATATCGTATAATTTATACACGAAATAGTTGAAATGTAGTTTTAAATCTTCCTACATAAGAATGATGGAATAAAATATTGGTATAGAACCTATTTTATACAAGTTATTCGGTATAATTAGCCTTAATATAGCTGAAAGCTGTTTTAAGTCTTCCTTCATGAGAATGAAAGTTATACCGTACAGTTATACATCATATAACTGAAGTTAACAGTGTTTTAAAATATTCCTACGAGAGCAGGATTTTCGTATAGAACCTATTATATTGTATAGTTATACATATACATAATACAGCTAAAAAATGTTTTAAATCTTCTTACGTGTAAATAATAGAGTAGAAGCTCGTAGAGAACCTATTTTATGACAATTATCTCGTATAATTATATAAGATATAGTTGAAATGTAGTTTTAATCTTTCTATATAAGAATGATGGAATAAAATTATTGGTATAGAAACTGTCTTATACAAGTCATATTCTATAGTTCGACATAATATAGCTAAAAAATGTTTTAAATATTCCTACATGGGAATGATAGAGTAGAAGATCGTAAGGAACCTATTTTATGACAGTTATATCGTATAACTCTATATATGATGTAGTTGAAATGTAGTTTAAATCTTCCTACATAAGTATGATGGGATAGAATACTGGTAAAGAGTCCATTTTACGGAATTCATATCGTATAGCGATACATAGTATAACTTAAAAGTATTTTAAATTTTCCTATACAAGGGAAATGGAATATAAAATACCCATATCAGAGACTACTACATAAATGGAAAAAGAACTCCCTTTGTTCCAGTAGCTCCTTTTACTAGAAGAGGATTAAAGTTTTGCTATCTTCTTATTCATATCGTTCTTAATCTGTACGAGTAGGATAAAAGTTGAAGGAGATTATAACACTATTTTTTACCTTTTATGAGCCATTCGCACGTAATACCGTTGGGATTATCATTAAATCCTTCAGCCTGGATAGCGCCAGTCGTGGTATTAGTGATTAAAGTTCTTTTAGAACAATTTCCAACAACAACCGGAAGATCTAGACTGAGTAATATCGTCAAAATAAAGTAGAATAATCTTTTACAGTAGGGCACACGCTGATAGATAGATCGCCAAGGATAGCAAGCCATGATTAATAACGACTTGAACAATCGATGACGATGCCGTCCGTAAAAAAAGAGAGGAATTAAAATTAGCTTGAACGATTTTTAGAGTAAACGTTAACAGGACCACAGGACTTTTACGACATAGGCAATAGAAATAGATTACGGATGGTTAATAGTTGTAAAAGTAATCAAAGTGGATCGCTTCTTTATCGCGTTAACCAACCTTGCCTGTAAGTAGACAAAAAATTAGAGTCAAAAATAATGCCAATAAGTAGGAGAAGGATATTGAGACTTTAGTTATCAATGATGTAAACCATGGATTCCTATCATGATCAGTAATTTTAGGAATTCATACTGTAACTACGACCCATCATTGAAATTAAATCCATTGCCATGTTGTAGTTGTTGACTATTGACTTTATAAGACATTGCAAATAGCAATCTTCAATCACTCTTCTTTGCGTAATTGGATAGAAATGGCATTGGCTATCTCTGATAGGAGATGGTTGCCGACCGATCAAGATTGAATAACATGCATGCATGCTCAAATAGAATAGCATCACGAATCCATAACTACTCGTATATTATAATCCGCTGTAAATCAAATAACCGACATGGATCAATCGATTGATTATTATAATCGGATCGTCATGATCAAAAAAAATTGGGGAATTTATTGACAATTGGCGGCATCATCTAAAGGATCAACAAGAAGACGGATATTATGCTATACGTATATTCTACTGTATATCCCACTCGTCTCATAATTTAATTTAAATTACGAATAGTATAAAATTCGCTTGATTGATAGATACAGAGTTTAACGGGGAAATGAACTGTCTTGTGTGAATGAAAGGCGATAGAAAAGGAGTCTATTAGTATGGAGACGATGATGAGAAAATTAAATTTTTTTTCCTGATAAATGAGTTAGTAAAGTCCAAGCATCTTTTCTACTGTACGCGTATGTTGGCGAACCATATCAGTTTAGGGACTACTAAAAGAGAAAAAATGTTTTCTCCTCATTTTAGTCGTTCCTGGCCATATTGATCAAAGGAACATCGCCCATCTACTTTATTTATACTGTAAATATACAGCCTTAAAAATTAGTCTAGTGACTGAAAGTAGGGGAGAAGGCTATCGAAAAGAAGAGGTCTTTTTGCGGGTCAAAGTGAGTAACAAATTTCCTCCAATGCATTAGGCAAGGATTCAAGGACTACTAAATCTTAAGCAAGATTGAATAGTCCATGAATCGATAGGCCTTCTCGACGCATGATGGCTAATAATATCGCAATGCAATTTCATCATGTCTACGTATAACATTCAAAGTTAGTCTAGTGACTGAAAGTAGGGAAAAGGCTATCGAAAAGAACAGGTCTCTTAGTGGATCAAAGTAGATGAAAAAATTCACTCTACAGTAAATGAATCCATCAATCCATAGACATGACTGCTAAATCTTAGTAGACCATGCCATAGGTCTTCTCGACGCTCGATGGCTAATAATATCACAGTTCAATTTTATTGTAAGGACTCCTTTCTTAGCTTACATAAGGGCTTGCTATGAAGGATCTATTTCATTTCTAAGCATAGCGTTCAAAATTCGTCTATTGACTAAATGTAGGGAAATTAATATCGAAGTAACATACTTCTTCGTAGGTAAAGTGAGGGAAAATTTACGCTAATGAATCTTGATCATGGTGCGAATCAATAATCAATATTATGATCATAGCATGGCGATTGGCATTGAACGATTATTCTATCCTGCATGGCTTGAAAAATCAATCAAATGCCAGACGCCTGTCTGATGATGGGCATTAAGTGAAGCTAATTCAATTAAATTAACAAATTGGGTTGTCCCATATGGGTCGAAATAAATGACGTTGATTGCCAGTTAGCCATTAGGAAAATGGATTAATCCGAAGTGTTAATCAAAATAAAAACAACAACAAACGATGGATTACTGTCGAATCAAGCCATCAATGCATCCTATAATGCTAGATTGGCTTGAATGATAATCGTCATTCCTTAGCCATGATTAGAAAATAATAACCGCTAGACAATTTATACATCAACGGAATGGAGTTGTGAACATTCGATGACTATCAGACGATAGCCATCGATAGGTTGATTACCACTCGATCATGCCTGTCATAGTTGTCTATTCAATGCAATCATAAACTGTATCGGAATACTGTAGAAATTTTAAAGGTTGCTTCTGTAAAGATGGAATAGATGACAAGGAAAATGTCAACTCGCTACTGCCAAAATAGGTTGGAGCGTCTTGATCATTCTGGATATTCGATGACTACTATAGCATATTGACATGGCTCCTCGATCATGTAATCCAAAGCGCTCGTAAAGTAGAATCAATGGAATATTCCATGATTAGCGGGATAAAACGTTTCTCGATGCGGATATTTCATTAGGATGAAAACGAGCTAGCTATTAGCAAAAGAGGTTGGAGCGCCGTTGCAATTCTGGGCATTCGATGATGACTACACGATATCGAGAACAACCGACTTTAGATTTCGAATATTCAATTCATATCGGGATCGTTCTTCTACGGTTATGTTTCGTCATAATGAAAATGAGCTAGCAATTAGGGAAAAAAGGCTAGAGCACTCTTCGAATTCTGAATATTCGATGACTCTTGTACGTCTCTATTTCGTCATGATGAAAAGGAGTTAAAGCATTCTTCGAATGCTGGGTATTCGATGACATGATATAGCAATGTCAAGAACGACTGCTCTTGCTGGGCCATGCAATCCACATTCCTCGTCTATATGGATTTGGAAGGCTCAATTTATGTCGGGATAAAGTGAATGTTCTTCTACGCGTGTAGATGGGATAAGGGTGAATTTGAGAGAATCGAGAACCTATTGTAGGTTCTCCTCCATTCGGCTTATCCCATAGCATCGATTTCATCATGATGAAAAAGGAGGTTAAAGTGCCATTATATGGTATCAACAACGAAGGACCGATGCTTAATTATGTCATCGAAAGTATTTTCATATATAGTAGAAATGATTCCTTGAATCATTGAATGAGCATGCAAAGTAGTTGTCTGCGAAGGAATTCATTAAAAGATTCCATGAGAGAGAGTGATAGGATAAATTGAACGTTTTTTCTACCTAGGTAGTTGATTAAAGCTGATAATGATGATGAAAAATCAGCAAGAATAACTGAAATAACGAAAAATAGGTTTGATTGTTGGAGGAGAGCATTTTTACAATTCTCGAAAGTGAATGGCTGCTATAGCTAGCGTATACGATAGGGATAACGTTGGATGATTCAAAATTGCTTTTCAATCATATGCAATCTAAAGCAACACAATATAGTATAAAATTGAATCATTACTTTTGCTGATTGAATGTTCAATCAATGAAATGTTCTTACAAGTAGAAAACGATTCTAAATTTTACAAAGGAAAAAAAAATTGTTACCAAAACATGTTTGTTTGGATACTTATAAGAGTGTCTTTATAATAACAAATTGTGTCTATCGCGATGCGTCAAAATAGTGAGAAAGTTGGATTAGTCATTTTTATATCATGACTACAGGATATCAATGACGCTCGACTACCCTGGTCGATCATGTTGTCCAAAAGAGCACTCATTCCATTCTTTAAATTAATAGGGATAGTGTTGGGATAGGGTTAAAATGAGATTGTCTTCTAAGATGGAATTAAATAATGACGATAATGGCAATCAATTAGCTGTTGTCAAGAAGTTATTGGATGCTGTTGGTCTATCCTATCACCAGCGATAGCATCACATTCAATTTGATCACGATAGATACTATGGCAATACATTGAAATTGGATTTTCTTACAGGATCGAATTGAATCATGTTAATCACCCTCTATCTCAAGTCCTAGACCCTGATCCTTGTCAAGTCTAAAATCAACGTTCGACTGCTGCTTGATCATGCAGTCCAAAGCTTCCCCATCCATTACATCAACCAATACGCTTGTAGATAATCCAACTACGACAGTATACTAATCTATAGCAATGTAATAGTCTTGAAAGTTGTCAAGAATCATGGACAGAACATCGCGGCGATAATTATTCATCTATCTGACATCCAAGAGTGAAAAAATGGTCTAGATTTGATCCATGTCAAATGGAAAACCAACGCTAGACTGCTGCCCGATTATGCAGTCCAAAATAGTGGATTCAATCGACCATCATGTAGAAGAGCTGTGCTATTCATAAAAGTACATTTGTATTTGGATAGGACTAGTGTAAAGAATAAGTTACAGGTCAGGATGGCGATTATTATAATCAATCTATTGCTAGACCTAGGGTGAGAAAACCGCTTGGACCTGATCCATGTCAAGTCCAAAATCAACGCTAGACTACTGCTTGATCATGCAGTCCAAGGTAGGCCAATGAATCGATCAACGATTCTAAAGTAGTTGGAGGTTATCCAACAACTGTACATTGGTATTAGGATAGGATAGGGATAATGGCGATCATTATAATTCATTTATTGCCAGTCCTACGGTGAGAAAACCGCTTAAACTTGATCCATGTCAAGTCTAAAATGAACGCTAGACTGCTGACTAAGGATGCAGCCCAAAGTAGGCCCCATTAATTGATCCACTACTACGAGTATTATAAGAATTTAGATATCATCCAAGAAGAACAGGTAAGGATGATAATGAATCTATTTCAAGTTGTACGCTACGAAAACCGCTTGAATCCATATCCATATCCAATGGAAAATCTACACTAGACTACTGCCTAATCATGCAAGGGAAAACAGCCTATTCATGCTATCCACTATTACCACTTAAAATCATTCTACTACGGTGACTATTTTGACATTACGCAAGAAATATTGATAGTTGAATTATAGCGATGATGATGATGAATGTATCTCAAGTCCTACGATGGAAAAAGAAACCCGCATCGACTTGATCCATGATCAGAGTCTAATCGTGCTTGTAAGATTGAAATCAAGAGAGCAATTTTACCTTGTCAATCGGTGCTTTTTACCCCTTGAAAGAGTTGTTTCTTTTCCCGATAGACAGGATGATGATGGATCCAATCTTCCTAAAACACTATCGAATCCTTCAACACGATTGTAATTTGGTCCTATTATCGACCACCGGCATTGTTTATGGGGAGGAGGGGGAAAGAAGAAATTCAACTTTGCAATCCAATCAATTGGATCAGGAAAGTAGAAAAAAATAAAAAAAAACTACAAGGGAAAACTATAGTAAAATCAACATCAAGCAATCTTCATTTCAATCCCATCCAAGGATCTATAACTAATTTGTCTTTTCCATCGAGACAATGTTGACAATCTTATCGGAGAAAAACTTGTTTTGCCTTAGATAACAGTAATAGACTGTTAGGGTATGATTTAGAGATAGTAATCGACTTCCTGCGTATGAGTCATTGACTGAGAGGTGGTAATCCTGTCAGAGAATAGCCGTTGCTAGACTTTTTGCCTCCCGACGACAGCCTTACCCCTATTACTCATACGTTGGTAAGTAATGCATAGAAACAAAGCTATAGGAAAAGGAAAGGTAGTCAAAAGAGAAACTATTGTTTGAACAGAATAATTAGATAGGTTGAAAGAATGGTCTACAGATCAAGAATTGTTAGCCTAGCAATACAGTACTGTCGGCATGGATATTCTTATGCATTTTAGTCATCGCGTTAAGACTACTAATCCACTCTTGCTATACTCGATCGACGGCTGATTCTGGCCTACAGATCAAGAATGATTGGCCTAGCAATACAGTACTGTCGGCATGGATATTCTTATGCATTTTAGTCATCGCGTTAAGACTACTAATCCACTCTTGCTATACTCGATCGATGGCTGATTCTGGCCTACAGATCAAGAATTGTTAGCCTAGCAATATAGTACTGTCGGCATGGATATTCTTATGCATTTTAGTCATCGCGTTAAGACTACTAATCCACTCTTGCTATACTCGATCGACGGCTGATTCTGGCCTACAGATCAAGAATTGTTAGCCTAGCAATATAGTACTGTCGGCATGGATATTCTTATGCATTTTAGTCATCGCGTTAAGACTACTAATCCACTCTTGCTATACTCGATCGACAGATCAAGAATGATTGGCCTAGCAATACAGTACTGTCGCTATGGATATTCCTATGTATTTTAGTCAAATCGTTAAGACTACTAATCCACTCTAGCTATACAGTACTCTATCGTCGATGGGTAGATTCAGTCAGGATGTTGGGACTACAAATCAACTGTTAGATCAGCTGTTATTGTTGTGCTAGAGTATTCTACTATACAAGCTGATATTGTATGATGGACCTCTTGCCCCAATTGGAAAATAGATCATTCAAGCAAGAGTCTACCGGTATAATCGTCGAGAAAAAGGATCATCCATCGCATTGGATCAACGTGTTGATTTCCATCTGCTGATATTATTGAACACGCGTAATTTTGAAACATTACTTTGGATTTCAGCCAGCAATATCGGCAAACTCTTACTTGATCATATAGAATGAATTGTACTCATTAGAAATGGATACGTTCCAGGTATACGTACATATGGATAATGACAGTCATCAATTATATCTACTAGCGAAACCCGTGGAAATGCCACACAATAAAGTAGTATTTGAGGTTAATAATAATTAGAATAGTGTACTAACAGCGTAACACACGTACAATCGCAATAATATGATTTGATTGATGATGATGAAACATAATTCTAACCCCATTCCAAATCAGTAAAAGTTTAAATGAGTATATCAATTATACAGTACTACCAGTATTTATGTACTGTTTCAGTATGCAATAGTCGAAATCAGCATAACTTACGCGTCTAAACAAGTACATCAACTATTTTAGCACAGTATAGTTTCAATCTGTATGAATAACTCTAACCCGATCGAAATCTACATAACTTATGAACAAGAATACATTACGATATATAATTCGAACTCAATTGAAATCAGCATCACTAAGTCACGCGTATGAACAAGTAGATCAACTATTTTAACTTAATATTGTTTCAGTCTGAATTAACAATTGGAACTCAGTCTAAATCTACATAACTTATGAACAAATCCATTAACTATTTCAATATTGTTTCAGCCTGTGACTTTGACCAACCGTTGCATGACCATTAATAATTTTAATTCAATACTCGTACAGCTCAGTATATGGAATAATGAACTAGCAGAAGAGCAAATGATCCATTTTTGGACTACAGTAAATACAATTGAATGGGATATAAACATGATCCCTGTTCATCAATTTCGCTAATGAGATAGTCTGCAGCAATGGACTCATTTATTCGATAGTTACAAGCAGTCAAGCCATCAATTTTATTTGAACGGTAGTTATTCTGATGATGTCTTCTCTTTATGAACAATTATTCCTTTTTCTACCAAGTCCGGAATTTCAACAGCTAACCACGGCCCCAACTGGATCAAAACAAAATAGTAATGTTAAAGCGTACTGGCAAAACCAAACACTTGCTTCGATACTACAATCCTTGAAAAACTTACGCCTAGGGCCATTGCGTGAGCAATGCCAAATTTGGGTACATTTCTTGCCCACAAGGGTTTAAAATGATCCGTTAAACAGATTTTTCCTCCTCTACACAAATTATATATTGGCAAAGATTACAACATGAACTACGCAGGCCATGGTATTGAATTATTCATGTGCTGTACAGTTCAAAGTAGTCGTACGGCGTATCCTATATGCTTATTTTTTTCAATGATTTAGTTTTCATTCTTCCATTTAAACGATAACACTACCATCAAGTATCATTTTTGAATCACCGCTTAACATTTTAACACGCTATCGTAGATCATGGAAGTTTTATAGCATTAGGCTTTCATCAATTACCTGTACATCTTTGCTGTTTTTCCATCCAACTCTGGCAGTGCTATCTCTGGCGCTGTTCCCGGGTATGTAACAGGAATCTAAAAAGAAGAAAAACATCATTATTGTGCTCAGAAGGATAGTAGCGTTCATTCTCCTGCAATCAGCAAGGCATTCAAAATTTCTGTACGTTATCTACTGTATACAGGATTAGAATTAATATGTCAATAACTTTTATGCAGTGTCATTGATTGATTGTTGATGCCAAGGTCGACATATCAACGAAGGGTATCTGTCAAAACGCTAACTCCATTATCGGATACATGAAACACTAATGTAACTTACATCAAACTCAACGTCGAATTCATATTTTAGCAGGTTATGTACATACCAACATTTGCCAAACCATCTATATTCATTTCAAATAATTAAGCAATAGTTAGAGATTCATGCACATGATGGATTGATTTTAGAACACTATTGACAAGTCTTGTTTCGAGCTTTATAAATTGATATTGCGCTAAAGTCCAAGTACGTCTAGTGGGGGTAATACCACTGCAATTTGCAGTAGTATTATACTTGGTATAGTTGCATCCAAGTTGAATAAAGACAAGTATTCTTTGACAATGAATCATTGGAATTGCAAAATCTGATTGGCAAGAAAACAGTGCTGACTAGAGAATAAGCAGTCCATACCTTGTGCCTTCTTTATTGGATTCCAGGCGAAACCAATCGTTATCTTGTTTTTTGTTATTTTCGACATACTATCAATAGTGAAGATCAATTCGTTGGAGTAATAAGCAAAAGGATCATTTCATTACTAAAGTACGACAAAGTAATTTGGTATCATCGTTGTAGGTCAAGAAATCCGCCATCAGTGCACTCAATAGCTCTACTGGCGTTAGCCCGATCTACAGTATATTCATAATAGGATAGATTTGATCTCCCTGATGGTAATGTTGATTTGATACCTAGTGTTTTTATAATCATCCCACGTCTCTACTACTCTATAATAAACAAATGTAGCAAGTTGCTTTCTATTCATATGTAATACGAGATTGGATCTACCTAGGTAATAACGACGTTTATTTGTTACCTCTACAGTTTAAGGATGAAATGCTCGATCAGTAGAATGTATGAAACTGTTGTACATTCATAATAGCAATGGTGATTTTATCTACCCAATAACAACATGGATTGATTTTGTTGGAAAATAAGCGATTGACTGAATATCATTCGACTTTATATAATGGATGTGCTCATCTATTGCGATACGATTGTGTTGAATTCTTTTGAGCATTTCTATTAATCCGTATTATTGTCATTGGGACTTGTAGGTTTGATGATGACACAATCAGTATGGCTACCCGTTTGCAATGTACATGGATTGTAAAGTCTAAGCTAAAGACGACGTCGGCATTGAAATGTTGTCCAATTCTTTGTGTTCCATCTCCTCGATTCTTTTCACTATCCATCCTAATGTCTATGTTGAACAACTCGGCACGTTAAAACACCATTTTCATTGGGGATGGATGGCACTATCAATATTTCGATGCCATGTCCATCGATTGTACATCATCCATGATAGCGATGAAAAGAGAAAGCGAATGTTGCATCCACATTCAACGAAAGACACAAGAGTGATTCAGTATTGGAATTCGTCCTCATCGCATTTTTTTCCATTCTACGCCACAGACGTGGATCTTTATTTTTTGGCACTAGGATAGCACTATCATAGCATTAACATGTTCATTTTGAATTGAAAGTTGGCGTATTGCCTGGATTGTCTCTCTTTTTAATCATGCTATTGGCAGTGATTTCTCTTGTTAACACCAGTCTAGCGTTCAACACTGGTTTATACAAGTGATGATGACGGACAAGCATAGTACTGGAATAAAAGTGGGAGACTAGGTGATTTCTACCGTAGCCTTTCCATTTGTACATACCTTGATTAAACTGACTAATTCCTCCTTTAATCGTCCAACCCATTGGTCCTTATCCCTAGGGCCAGCACGCGTTTTTAACAAGGGTATTGCTGCCAAAGTGCGCTTGGTGGCTTCGTCGACCATTTTGACTTGGTATACGAAAGAGAAGAGAGAGAGAGAGAAGTCAAGGATCTGTCTCGACTGTCTGTCTGTCTGCCTGAGGATGGACGGACTGACTCACTCACTGGTCAGTCACTTTCACCACTGTCACCCTACAGTACGTGGTTGACTTTAGAAGTGACTCACTCAATGACGGACCACGAACTACTTCGTGGGGTGACAATCCGTACCGTGCCGTACCCGACGAGCAAGGTTTGATTTTGCTTGGATACTACAGAATGTCAATGACGGACTGTATCTTCTCCTCTCTACCTTGTCTCTCTACTTTTACAGTAATATCAATGTGTAGCAAAGAACAGGACTGTCCAACTACAACTCTACAGTACATAGCAATACACCGTCAAGAAATGAAATCCCCATGACGAAAGCATGGAGGTCAAATTGTCTCCCTCTATCGACCAACCCAGCCACTTGTTACAGCTGAGTAGAGTATTACTGAAGCAGTCCCTCCCCCGACTGGCCTTGAGTCAAATTCCATGATTCTAAGGTACTGTATGAGGAACGGACTCTGAGCGACGACAGTATGATACACGATCACGCATGCGTAGTATCGGCGTGACAGCAGCTGCCCAGCCGAGCATGCGTCGAAAGTACAAGTCAATAACGCTCTACGCTAGGGGCGTATCCTTGGAAGCTTGCAGCGGTCTCCTTCTCGATCGTGAGATCAACTTGTTCCTCCATCATTCATTAATATCATTCATGATTGTCGCTCAATAATCCTATTGCAATCTTCTACAAATCGTCTGTAGTAGCCATGAAGAAAATTCGAGTTGCTGTCATTGGTGCTGGAGCTGCAGGCTTAGCTGCACTCAGGCAACTATCCAAATATGATGTCTTTCAACCAGTAGCGTATGAAATCGAGCGACAAGTTGGAGGGACGTGGATCTATAAGGATTTAGCCGACGATTTCGATCCAACCAACATTAATTTATTGGCTGGTCAATCTACCACATCATCACCACCACCACCCCATTGCCATTCCAGCATGTATCAAGGATTATAGTAAGTTGTGATTAGTATAGACAAATAGGATCCCATCCTTGAGAAAGGAGACTATCCTATCCGTTGATTCATTCTAAGCATACAGTACTGTCTAGCAGAGAAAGTGTCATCATGACGCTGTAATATCTACATTTGTAGTCTCCTGCTATGACAAGACGTCAACAAGCAACGATACTCTGCTCCAGGGAGAAACAAAATGACATCCTATCGGCAATACCTATCGGCAATAGCTTGCCGATAGGTATCAATGAATAATTCAAAGTTATTACATCCACTTCATTCAAAATTATAGTAGCATGGATAGGATAATTATCATCCATGGATTGAAGGAGGATGATCAACAATATACAATACAGTACTGTAGAGTCATGCAAAGCCAAAGTAGTATACGCCACTCTTCAACTTGAAATTGGAAATTGAAAAACATCCTGACGTTCAAGTTGTCTTTTACTGCCTTCTCTCCACTAAATGACACGCTCTTCATTCTTGTACTAAAAGTCTATCATTCATGAACTGAAACGTTACTCGTACGATAATTGATTAAGCCAATGACATGCGTTGATGATCAAAATTATCCGACTAACCAGGCTTTCATTCTACTCTTATAGTACAAATATTCCAAAAGAAATCATGGCGTTTCCTGACTTGCCTTTTCCTCAACAACTACCATCTTATCCTCACCACACTGATGTACTAGCTTACTTACGCAATTATGCTCATCAATTTAAGTTATTGCAATATATCCAATTTGGAACAATGGTCAATAGTTTATCCCGCCAACAAATTGAAGATAAAAGCTCTTGGACGTTAACCTATACTGATTTAGACTCCAAAGAGACAACAACAACACAATTCGATGCTGTCATCGTGTGCAATGGGTACGTATATTAGACAATAAACGATACGAGTAATGATTATAATTATAATCAAACTACAGTCCTGTGTATCAACACAAATCCAATAGTCATGGTTCTATCCTTCAATATATTCAGCCCCATACTGTACAGCTACTAACAATCTTGCACATGTCATGATAACAATCCATTGAATCCTTGCCTTCTTTCTCCAATGGATCAATTTAGGCATTATTGTAAAACAAGCTATCCTGACATCCCTGATCTGGATCAATTTCCAGGAGCCGTTACTCACAGTCATTACTATCGAGAACCATCCATCTACAAGGACAAAGTCGTAGTCCTCATGGGTCCTGGCCCATCTGGTACAGATATCGCAATAGAACTGATCGATACAGCTAAAGAAATTTATTTATCTTGTCATAAGCAACCGGCTGCTAATCTACCCAGTAAAATTGTCGTCAAAAATACAATCACCAAATTACATTCCAATGGATTTGTCCAATTTGAAAAGGATCCACAATTGGTCAAAGCTGATTGTGTCATCTTTTGCACAGGTTATGGCTATGAATTTCCTTTTTTAACTCCTAGTTGTAATGTGACATTAGAAAATCAACAGCGTAGAATTCGCCCCTTATTTATGCATATATTTCATATTGATCATCCTACGTTATCATTTGTTGGTATCTGCGCTAAGATAGTCCCATTTGGACAGTTTTATCTGCAAGCATCTGTTGTTACATCGGTCTTGCTTAACCAAACTCCTTTGCCATCCATCGATGAGATGGAACGTGATGAGGAAAATGACTACCAAGACCGACTTGCTACCGGGCTTCAACCTAGGCATGCCCATTTCTTGGGTGTCAGACAGTGGGCTTACAATGATCGATTAGCTACTTTCATTAATGTCAAAAATCCAATGTCCAAAGCTATTGAAAAAACGTATAAATATGCTATGGGCTGGCGTCAAAATAATATTCTAGAATATCGTCACCAGAACTATCGAATAATTGATGAAGATACATTTGAACATGTTAATGCATGCAAGAATAGCAATCAAACGTCTACCAACTAGTTGAATTGTATTGACTATCAGGGATGGCTTGAAAGGATGAATAGATCGATCATTGCACTTGCTTGCCTAATTGAGTAAGGCAGCATTTTATCTTACTCTTCCAATGTATACCATATCAAGACTTTTAAATTGTTGCTATTTTAAACCAATTTATGGGAATAACAACCGCCATCGAAAATGATACGCCTGATTGAATATCTACCTGTATTGGCCTATTTTAAAACGATCAATTAAACTTCCAATAGCACATTCAACATACTGCATTTCACCTAAATATTTATTTATCATTCAATTCAAACTTCAATATATGCGTACATATGATTTCCTTTACGCTAACTACTCGTTTAAGGATAACATTTTGCTACAGTTATAAAGTTAGCATGTATCATTAATGCTGCAATGCCAAGTATATTAGCATATTCAATAGAACAAGAGTCATATTTAGAGCAAATTCCTTAAATCTTACAAAATATAAAAGGAATTCAGCATTTCTTTACAATTACTGTTGGTTCATATGTAAACATGACATTTTTCTGTTAGTCAAACTTTCTATGCTCATTTTTATCTTTGTAAAATAATATAGATACAGCATACTTGCTGAAAGATTAATACAGTTATTCAGTGAGTTGTACTTGAATAAAACGCAACTTGTATTCCTATTTCGTTTAATAAAGTCGTCTTTAATGCGAATATTCAATTGCAACTCGACCGATAAGTGTTACTATAGGAACGGTAAGACTTTTTAAGGTGGTGTCATCACTGCATTATTTCGGGTAATGAATGGCATAGTATAAATATACAATCCTTTCACTTAGACATAGGATACCATAAGTTACTGTAATCTTCTCATGGCTCAAGTTGATCTTGTTATAACTTGATAAGAGTGATAAATCTTAATAGAATAATACTTAAAAATATAATACCATTGGAAATGTCAATTTTGCAGTAATGTTTCATCATGAAATCTTTTCCGGTACATGTTTATGTGCAACGTATAGAAATCCTATACTTGATAACGCACTGATCTGTAATGATACGGTAAGAATTAAATGAATACATTGCCAGTTCAGTTTACTTTGTAAGATACAATTGATATGGTCATGACTTACTAAGAAAATGACGTCAAACCAACGGTGATAAAAGCTAAATTGTAAGTCACCCAAAACTTTCGTAATAATAAGCCTGTGATGTTAAAATACAAGAGACAAAATCTGTGTTATAGACTACGCAATTTTATCTTTGCTACTATTTATTTTAATAGGTCACCTGTATTTCGCAGGTACATTCATTCTCATTAATACCACAGACGAAACAAAATACATTCCCTAAAATTGCATCAATGATGGATGCAGAAGCAATACGTTATCAATTTTATGACTACTACATTTATACAATTATAAAATGTTAGATTTAGAGCAAACAGTTCAATCCTACGACATAATTTGTCAAAAAGACCTTTGTTACAATCTTACCATTATTTCAGCAAGACAGAGAACAATTGCGTTGGATGATTTACTACTTGATATTGCATTAAAGAACTGTTCAACGTAGATAAAGAAGAATCAAAAATGATTTAAAGGACGCTCTCTATTTTACTATTGATATCTTGATAGTAAATATTAAGTAGATAAAGCTAATAACTAACCCAATCCACTGATAGCATACCTTAGTTAATGTTATCAAAAGTCCTCGAATAGATGTAACAATCATGATACCAACCAGAAAAAACGAAACATGCTGTGACCAAAATTTCACCTATATTGATGCAGACAGAAAATAGATTCTTTATTTCTTTGCCACAATGCATTTAATCAATCTAAAAAATTATCAGTCTCGTCCACATCTCCTTGCTTACATCGACGTCAAATCCTAAATAGTTGACTGTGTTGCGTGTTATATATATATATAAAAAGAGCATGTATTATCTTATTTAGTACTAGAATAGATATTCCAAATGATTACTTGAGTATAGACTAACGTACCTAAAATTTCAAAACCTCGAGTTACAGGATCTATAGACATAGCAAGAAGCTGTATTAGAACTCTCTATTATAACTTAAATTAATAATTTTCGCAATTTAGTTCATGGCATAGGCTATATAAACAATATCTAGGGGTTTATCATTTCTTCGACATTACCTGTCTTTCCAACTCTATCAAAAACGATGTTGATTGTGCACTACAAACATATAAAGCAGTTTTCGATTAAAGCCTACAGATTTTTTCCGTAAAAAAGGTATTCTTAAAATCACTTACAATAAAAATTTTCCAAATACAATAAAGAGAAAAGAAATAGCCCATCAGGTTAAAATATCGTCCTTTTAGCGTTCGGGAATAAGCTATGCGCGCCTGTTTACAATGATATTGATATACGCAGCATTTTAAGGCTAGATGTAATTTCTCAATCAGTATACTATATCAAAGATTATAATAAAGAAGACTGTCAATTAGCCAAACCTTGGTAGCGTGCATATCAACGCTTTCAAGGAATAGTTGACGTGAAAGCTCCTCTAGTGCATCCACCTCATTTTTAAGATGGCTAATATCTGTTATTAAAATAAGACGTAAGATAAGTCCGATATATTGGCTTTTGCCACTGTTCAATATTGAAACAGTAATATATTGAAGTAAAATGACATTACTTTCACTACCAGCGCTGCCTCCACTGATCATATTCCAAACAAACTGCATTCGACTTTTCTTTTGCTCTTGAGTGGCAGCGGTCTTACGACTACACCGTTTAAATACAGAGTGCATTTTAACAAGTTATGAAATTACTTTTTATGTAAACAATATCAGAGGAAACAGAAACTTGATTTCAAATATCTTGACAAGCTGAACTCCTGTCAAATCTTTTTACCTTTCATGTTCTGCAAGAGCAATACTGAAAATAAAAGTAGATTGACAGCTTTAATTTACACGAATGAGAAACACCTAATGCACCAACGCCAAATTTAATATACCGTTTCTTTTTAGTGAGGATCATATCTATAGTCTGCGTGATTCGTTTTTCCAACGAGTAAATATCGCCATCTGAAATATTCCTATATCACAAGTTACAAAGCCAGGAGGAAAGTTAATAAACTGAGGTATCTTACTTCCTTATATTTCATTTAAAGTCTTGACAAAGTATGGAGCTTAATTATTGTCTGTGACTAGCATTGTTACCTGGTAAAAACAGCCATATAAGTATAGGGACAGTTAACGGCACCAAACCCAGAGAGAATACCAATTATTGTAACTCCAATTACACCAACCCTACTAACAAGTTGCTCAATAGAGAGAATACCTAAAGATATTTTATATAAGAATAAAATTTAGATTGTACGATAATTCTACTACTTGATGTGCACTATTGGATTCACTTTAAATAGATGAGATTAATTTACTATGTCAAATTAGTAGCCATGCCCAGTTGCTAATTGTAATTACAGCGATTTACGGGTAGATATTTTTTTACCAGAGCAGTTACTAAATAGTATACAAAATTGACTTTGACCTACCGTGCTTTCGGCTTAGTATTGGAAAGGGATCTCCAAGTTTCCAAAAGAAATATATAAACACGAACCATGACACGAGAGCAGTGATAAACCGATTACGGTGAAACGGCCCTAGTGAAATAAATTAAAGAAAGGTATGTAAATAAGTGTTGTGCAAAGGGTAGGCGTATTCATTATACTGGTTGATACAGTCAGTTAGGACATGAATTACTGACTTGATATTACTATGTAAAAGAAGTTGAATACCAACAACTGATCGTAAAAGAAAGCTTCCATTTAGTCTTACGTTCTTCTTTTAATCATTTAAATTAAGTCTATCAGCAACTGTACGAAAGCATTTACAAACAAGATAATACAGTATATCAGAATCTATTAATAATTTTAATGTAGTGACATTACCGATTCGCGTATTTCCAACAGCATAATAAGCAATATAAAAGGGCAATATAAGTACAGCCATGCATAACATAGAATAGAGTCCAAGCTTCCAATGAAAAAATCGCGAGCTATAATTTGATAACATTAAATGTACTCGTTCAAATTATGTAGTACGTTACATATTCATATGCCACTACAAATTCAGGTATTTGTCAATCGTAAGCTGTTACAGATATGGCAACTATCAATTATAGCATTCTTTCATTAAAAACAGCTATTCTTTGGTATGGTAATGATGACAAAATGGTTAAAGACCACGCAATTATTAGCACTTTAAAAATAACTTAAGGCTTACCCAGGATCAAGAAAGCCCATAATTTCGAATATAATTAGCTCGAACATTGTACAAGATAGAGCAAAGGTAACCGAGAATATAAATTGAACCATAACGTGACGAACCTAAGAAAAAACATTTTTAAATCTTGCGTTACAGTCCGAAACGTGTGAACAGACCTATCATTGGTTGTAGTATTTGAACACAGCAAAGTATATAAGATATTGTAAAAATTAATTTTATTTATTACAGCCTTTGTCAATAGGATATGTTTGCTATATAGGCTGATCATAATGAATGGTAATTATATTTTAGTAATACTATTATTAATGTTTGCTTTTATAAACGACTTTGTTAATTGGATAGATTGGTCATCGTTTAATTAATAGTGATGAAAGGTAATGATGTTCTGCCATGGCCTCAATATTGATTCATGCAATATACGCTGAAATTCCAATCTCACCTCATAGTCTTTAAAGAGTCGTCGCATAAAGAATAACCAGCCAAATCCAAAGAAAAGAATCTAGAAGAAATAAGTTATTGGTTTAGCTACCATTTTTTTATTTAATTGATTTTTGGTTAACTGTTGTTAATACTGTATACAGTAAGTATATCTAGCGCATTTCATTGATACAATTACTCGCACTACGTATATCTAGTACATGGCATTGATATGAATACTCATCATATTCAAACAAATACCCATTCCAAATTAATCATCGTAGTCTATCGAATGATAAAAGGACGATTAAAACAACCTTCTGATATTGACATTAAGCAATTTTGTGTTAATTGTTATCATTGCTCTGTCTACAATATGGATATTGACATTTGTCCATAATTCAGACCCGCAACCGATTAGTTGTAGTACATCGGGATCTAGTATGACGATAAAAAAGTCTTATTTTTGATATTTAGATGTTTATTCATAATGCCGGTTGCGAATAGATTATTGTGTACATATTAGAGATTTCGACGTGCGATCATAATGAAAGTTGCGAATAGATTTGACATCTTAATATTTGCCAGAATACTGATGATATTTCGATATTGGTTTATAATGCTGGTTGCGAATAGATTAGTCATGGTGCTGTATGTCAGTATGGTGAATGATAGTTCAGGTCTACTTATTCGAGATTTATTAGATGTGCGATTATAATGGCAGTTGCCAATAGATTGATCATCGTACCAGAATACTGAATGGCTGTTAAGGTCTACTTTCTGGATATTTAGATATTCGTTTATCATGCCGGTTACGAATAAATTAGTCGTGGTACGACAAGTCAAAATGCTGAATGACTGTTAAGGTCTACTTTCTGGATATTTAGATATTCGTTTATCATGCCGGTGATGAATAAATTAGTTATGGTACGACACGTCATAATGCTGAATGGCAATCAAGATCTACATTTTTGGCATTTCGATATTCGTTTTGTAACACCGGTTGCGAACAGATTAGTCATACTCGATATCAAAATACTGAATGACAATTACTTGCTGTATTTGAGATTTCAATGTTCGTTTATAACGGCGGTTGCGAATAGATTAGTCATCATAATGTACGTATAGTAGAATCCTGGATGAAGAATAAGGTCTACAATTTTTGATATTTCGATATTTGCTAATAACGCAAATTAAGAATAAATTAGTTGTAACATATCATAATACAGAGTGACAAGTAATGCATTCGATTGGATATTTACTTTTCTCTATTTTGCGTTAACTGTTGCTGTTATAAAGTAGATGATCACGCTTGTCAAAACAATCCGAGTTTGGCAGGATTCGTGTTCATGTGCAGTGGTATGGCAGGGATATTCGGTAACAGAATGAAGACCTTGGGCTTACTGCTCATATTTGGATATATCTACAGCACTCCTAATAGAGTGGTAGGATATCTCATTTTTACCTTGGCTGCAGTTATTGTCGAGTATTGCGTTGTGTAGTCAATAGCCTACGTAAAAGTAGAAACCGTCCAAGGTCTCATTTCGGTCTATTTCAGTGCATACTTTTACTCTCTTTTGAATGATGAAATCTGTTTATGAAATAGATTCAAGATCGATAGCAAGTATGGCATTATTCCATCTAGAATGGATTTGTTTCCATGCTCAACTTATACTCTATCGCTCTCATCGATGATGGAAGTCAGATAACTCGAATTAATATTTCTATCGATATTGGAATTGGGTAGCTATCATTCATTACCCAGTCTGCACTATTTATAAAGATAAACATAAACTACATGATTCCGTCTACGATGGACTATTTACAAGCGAATCAGACGATTGGCAAGATGATGAGAAGCGCATTTGAGTTGATTCATATTATGCTGACTGTTGATATTGGACGAGCAGAGATGATGGGTTAGAGTAGTGTAGCACTGAGTAGTTTATTATGCGGGATCGATGGATGCGTTGGAATCGAGTCTATCCTATGATTGAAAGATGATGAAAGCACTTGAGATTTTAATTTGCAGACCAATGTCAATCTCTTGACTACAATGCATGATGACACTCATCAAGGAGAACAACGTTGTCATTTTACCCATGTTTTGGTTTACCACGACGACAAAAGATGACAATTGTGATGGAAGACTAGAGAAGAATATCAAATTAATTCAATCCTTGCAGGAGATCACTGTACTTTGATATTCTACAGGACTTGCAAGAGATCCATTCTATGGTATCAATGATATGCAATGGGTGTAAACAGTAAAGAAGGATATCGTCCAATGGATGGATGATGGAATCCATCATGCTAGGCAGCTATACGATGGATTGCAATGAGAGGGCTATCAGCATCTACCCTTTAAGCTGGGTGTTATTGCAATTGTTACCGATGATTACTCTCGTTCTTATTCTAACCAAGTAGGACTAAGTAGAAATACAAGTTGAAACGAATAGAACAGGTTAAATGAACAATCTTACTTGGGATATAAACATGATGACGGAATCGGTGATGAAAGACATGTTGAGTTGGGACGAGGGCTCCTTTAGCCAGCAATCTTCAATAGGAAATTTTCTCTTTTCTTAACAGATCGATGCCTTACTTCTCAATACAGCAAGCCACCTTGAAGTTGAGCATAAGACTACTCGTAGAAAGTGGAAAAAATTAAAGCAACTCGACTTGGTGTTGCCAATGGATTCTCCATCAACATGCTAAACCGACCAGTTAGTGGATGGCCTCCAACAAAGGACCCAAGTGGACCGTGGTGGACCGTGGTGGACCGTATCGACGGTATCGTACCGTCGTGACCGTATCCAGCTAGGGTAGAGCAGTGGACAGAGTGCGCATGCGGTCAAGATGTCAACTTGTGACGTAATGGTTGTGTTTGCAACCATCTCCAGTACTACTATTTGTGTGGACCGATTGGTTTGTGGTCATTTCAACCAGACCGTATGCTTGTAATGGTACACTATACTGTCAAAAAGTTCGAGACGGTCAATCGTCCATAAACTACTAATAACGAGAACCAGCCAGGCTAATTAGGCCCATTAAGTTAATTTTGCTGGTTATTTTGGCATTTCTGCTCACTGCTTCTAGTTTTCTGTCTTTTAGTCGTTTCCTGACTGGACTGCACTGTCGATTGAGATGAGTATAGATGGGCTACTTGGTTCTCCTAGTAGTCCATCCATAATATGCATTCTGTTAGGAGTAACTGTACTGTCCATGAAGATGAGATTGCACACAATCATCAACTACTTGCTTCTCCTTGTAGTCGACGGTATAGCGTAATGTGTATTCTACCCGTCATTTTCTATTGCAGAGGGGGTAAGCAATAATTTAAACAACTTTTGCTCTTCTCCTATGGTCTAATGGACATGAACGACGTTGAGTCCAGACATCATGTGCCTGCTGCTGCTGGCCATTTTTACTACTATCCTGGACTTGTGCAGCGAACTGGCTCCTGCAACAAGTTGATTCTGCTGTCTGTACGCCCAGTCGTCCGTGCCACGCTACAGTGTACAGTATGTTCTTACACTGAAAAGTACTGCACGTGACAGTATACAGTACTGTACTGTATTGTACCGTACAGTGTACTGTACAGTGTAGAGTACAGGACAGAACAGCCCTAGTGTACTGTACACTGTAAAAGTGGCGAAAACTGCAATAGCATCTGCTGGCCTTTGCAGTGATTGCTAGCAATAATCTAGGACTTTCTTCCACTCAATCTCAAAATGATTCCAAAGCTAGTCCGACATTCCTAATGGAGATGGTCCATGGATGGAGGATAGCTACCGTTCAATAAAAAAAAGATTGACCAAATGACTCAGGAATGGATTGATTCCTTTGGATTATTTGCAAAGGAAAGACAGTAAGACGATCATCATCAGGGAAAAACCTTCATCTTGTTGCTCCATCTGCTTAAAGTCAATATTTTTCATGCTAAAGTCCCTTGCAAAGGCAAGAAGAAAAAGCCTACTATACATTGAGCATATCTCAACAGGAAAGAGAAAATACCATCAATCTTATTTCATAAACAATAGCTTTCACTACAAATCATGATCGTTGTATAAACTGCTCAACGATAGCCTCAACGATTGAATAAAATTCCATCATATAAGGAACCTTACCATTAGAACAGGAAAGAAAAAAATACCGTAGAAAGATTAACCATCAGCAATGGATTGGTGCGATACTTGTTGTCAATTCATTCTACCACAGGATCAAATTCAAAGTTTAGGCCGTTATTATCATCGAAATTGTTTCTATTGTGCTCAATGTCGACGCCAACTTCAAGCAGGAAAACATCTACAATTAAAGCAACAATTATTTTGCAATCGTTGCTCTAGTTCTATCTTATTGCAGCAATATCATACCAGCAATGATCAAGACGAACAAGAGATAGACGACGACAACAACCGTGGTGTTGTTCATTGCAATAACATCATCAATAACAATCATTCTTACAATTGGCAGGATACATCAGAAAGAGAGAAAAATAATGCTTATCAAAAGCCGTCCTTAACCCAACAAAACCATAGTCAAATCGATTCCATCAAACAAAGAGTAGAAGAGTATAACATTTATTATGCTCAAAGTCATCATTTACATTTAACCATTCAAAAACAAAATGATAACATGATTGTCCATGGACTTTTAAAATTCTATTGGCATATCCAATTCCCAACACGTATACTAGATCAACATACCACCCATCTTATTACTGATTTAATCGATGTCAATACATCAATTGACAACAACAACAATCTTGACTATCCTTCTTTCTTACCTCCAATCCATTCATTACAACATATTCATATCTCATCGAATTTATCAACCGTCAATGTTATCGCTTTACTATTAGGCAAAAATAAAATTATTCATCATCATCAACATTATGGCCTTTTCCTAACTTATCATCATGGCTATACACGACAATTAAAAGAGGATGAATATCCACTCTTGGTACGCTTACAAGTTGGCCCTAGTGATGAAGTATGTAAAATTGTGCTGAAAGAAATGGCTCATGACGATCAACACAACAAATCGATATCGCAAGAAGCGGCTCAATTTATGTGCTTTTCATCCACAGAATTAGAAATTATCTTGAAACAATACCAAATTGAAGAACAGCGTGAGTCGGAGAAAATTCGTACCAAATATTCCAAGGAAAAAACCTTGATTGAAAACCAATTACAATCGATGCAATGCAGCCTATAATATATAAAAAAATAGTACTGAAAAGTAAAATAACCTGGTCATCTTGATCGTGTTGTACTATCAATATTGGCTATAATACGCTTCCTTAATTTGGTACTGAGGTTTTATTATTTAGAAAAAAGAGACTGCAGTTACATAAATGGATTATCTATTACACTATATTGTCGAAAAATGATTCAAGAAGAAAAAATCTTGATTGAAAAATAGCTCTTTTCATACAATTCACTCTACAAGAAATAGAGACTATAATAAAATAACAAATTATCATTATATTATTATTATATTGTCAATAGTGACCCTACTACGCTTCCACTATTCGATATAGAATTTTGATACTTGTGAAAAAAAGGACCGTAGTAAAGTAAAATAAAACTATCAGATCTTTCTTCGATATTATGATGTCCATATCATTCCTGGATACGTTATGCTTGACATCGTATTCCATTTCTCACTATTAAATGTCCTCTCTTATTGCTATGCAATAGTTTTCCTATTATACAAAAGATAAATCTTGAACTGTACTTATTGGACATTGACTATAAAAGTTATAAAAAACGCCATTATAGAATGCTTAACTTATACCGATAATTTCATCATCTTCTAGCGACATAGTATCTTATTCTTGTGCAATACCATGTTACGAAAAATGCTTGTTTTCTTCTTGCAATAACTATTACTAAATATTAATAGTTAAACTGTGTCTATCTAGTGACTATCAATTAATTAATAAAAAAATATCTGCGGTTTTTTTTAATGTGAACATACTGTATTCATTTTGCTTTCAAAGTAGGTAACCGCTGTTTTAGGATACAAATTGGATAACCACAGCGATAATTGATTATATCTTAGGTTATTTTATTCATTTTATCTCATCAGTTAAAAAAGTGTTTGGTGAGAATGAATTAGAATCGTGTAAACATTTCCATAGACGGAATATTTTATCAATTATAAGATTTCAATGGCTCACAACCGGATAACTTCATAATACCTAATTTATATCCTTCTATGGATTTCTTTCTTATAAACAAAGTTAATTTATTGCTTGTAAATACGTACAGTGGCGTATGATATATTGATATTGCACGATAATCGGCCGGTGATTTCAAGTCAATCATTGAATTACTGGAACAAATTTGATGCTCTTCATATCAAGATTTTAATGTACAGTGCTTAAATATTTTGTATATTTGCAAACGTTCGTAGCTCAGTATTAGAGAACTCAAAGTAATCGACTAACTTTTAGTCTTGCATGCATTGTCTCAGGTTTATAAAACTCATTTTCATGTTATAAAATGGTTTCGAATAAACTTTTTGAGCACTTTAGCCAATGGTACAATTTCTACGGTACTCACCTACCTCCGGTTTTTGGTAACTAAAAATAATACATTAAATAAAACCCTTGTTAGCGATGATCGGAAACCTTGACTGGTGAAGCCTAACTAACTGTACAGTACTCATACATATCGTAGTGGCAATATGGACTATCAACAGTCAATAACGCTGTAATTTTTCTGTATAGTTATAATCAACTAAATCCACCAGAAGGACCAACTTAAAATCTTACAGACTTTGAAATATGGATATGACCATACTGAAAGTCTATTAGTCAACGATATACCGAACTTGAAATGATTTAGCAACTCCATAGTTTAAATCGTACCACTGTAGTCAAATTATCCTCAGTCCATGACCACTATTTCGTTATTATCATGACCAATAATTAATTAATAGGGATACTACTATATTATTGATGTCATATTATTTTCGAGTTTGATCCCCTTTCAATTAATTTTACTATTAGGAATGCCCTTAGAAGGAAAGAAAACTAGTAAATGTTACAGATATGTTATAAAAACTAGTCGTTCAAACTAATTTATTGCTCATTGATTACCACCGATATTAAGTCTTTTTATTATAGAGACAGTACAGATATTAGTTGAATTGTTGAATACTACACGTTTTCAATCATCAATTCAAAATAGATAAATTGGAAACATTTTGTTGATAAACATTAGCAATGAAATTCCAGTTTGGTGGACGGGCTTCAATTCTCAATCTTGCTATGATATTTGAAGAATCGAACAACTACAGTTTAATAGCTTAAATTATTTCTTCATTTTTTCGTTAAAATACTGACGTATAATACTGTACCATAAGTAAGCGTCCCTAATGCGCATACTAACAATAAGTTCAAGTAGATGATATCCTTATCAATATCTAGATCTACGAAATAGTGATATTGTACTTGACTAAATTATAATGAATAGACGATTTGACGATTCAATCGTCTCAGCAAAGATTTTATCTCTGCACGACCAATATAACAAGATTGAGGTAAAGCCGTAACATGAATATCTGCATAATATCGAGCCATTAATGTTATTACTATTTTATTTTTGAATTCTATTAATTATGACAACTAGAGAAAAATTGATTTTCAGTCAATAGAATTTTTCCTCAATAATTTCACAACATAATATTATTTTTTTAAATATTATTTAAGGGCAATATAGTTCTATTTTTATGATTTTTTATATGTATCCTAGATTATTTGGCAAGATCTGATTATTAAAATATGGAAAATATTGCCGATTACCTCTTCATATCTTATCTTTTATCCTACCGTGTCTACAATATTATCCATTGTTAATTCATCAATTGATTACACTACTATAATTAATATTAGTTGTGCTGTTTTCATAATGGATAAAATTGATTCATTGCATTTACTCGTAATAAAACAATAATAATAACGTGCCAATCTCTGTATCTGGTAGTTTGCAGTTAATTTGTTTAAATTATACAATAATATTAGGATTTGGAAAACAATCCTCATCTTTCTTTACTGTCAAGAGTAAGTCTTCCTTGTGTTGGCTTATTTTTTACTACACTAATGATTGTCTGTATGCTACATGTTAAAAACAAGAATAAAATAATCAAATGTAATGCAGTTAAAAATAATTGTTTATGTTCTGAAATACCATTTCGTAATAAGGTTAGTAAATGGACCCAGCTTGCAGTAAATTGTTACATAGAACTCAGATATACAAGGGTTAATAAGAATAAAGATAATTGGAATAATTCTGAAGGATAAGGACTAGCTTGGAAAAGTAGGGTTATTTCTTACCGAAATTATGTATTGATTGTTATCCTTGTACCGTTCATGAACATAGCCTAGATGAGACTACTTAAATTACCCTTTATTATTATTGGTAGTTAGACATCTAAGATTCCTAAACTAGACGATTAATATTACGATGTAAGTGATTACAGTGTAGATTAAAAATTCAATTGCGTCAACGTCAAGATCTACAAAAGATTTGTATGATCATAGCAGCCTTAATAAGTATGCATAAAATCCTGCTAAAACACTTTCCGGATAATGTTACATCATGTTAAAATCGATTTATAATATAATGTAGAATTTGACTATGAATTTGTAACCTAATATACAAGCATAGCAATTAGGATGGCAATATTTCACCTGACTAGCTAGAATGATTGGAATAAATGAGAATATAAATCCATTAAAATTTTACAAGGGGTCAAAAGCAAATTATTTAAACGGCGATTGCATATATTTTCACTAAGTATCGGTATCCTAACCAAATAATGCTAAAAATCTAAACTTAGATTGTTGTAAATATTTGAAGGAAAGTTTCAAGGCTACTTAAAATGTTTTGTCGTTAAACGTAATTTTTTTCTGTAGTCCATATTAATCTTTTAAATTATAGGACGAGCAAGCCTAATTATTCAGAGTAGAGAAATTATCAAAGCATAAAAAATTAACTACAGCGAATGAATTACGGAAAAATAACCCTAAAGAAGCCAAAATCGTTAGGTTCATATCTTGAATAGTATGGAGATTTCATTTTCTACATTGTCTTAAAAATTGTTTTATTTTATGTCACTACGACTTTCCTTCAGTCATTTGTTTTTTCACGATCCTAATAGGGAAGATTTTAATGGGCTTTTGAGTGAAGTGCATATCTATCGTTACGTACATATCTCTATAGAATTAATAATAAATATATTCTTCAAGTGCTGATAAAAATTTCAGGATTTCTTAGAAATAATAAATTAATCTTATACAATTAAGTCAATTCTTAGCTTCGTGCATAATATGTTAAGTATTATTACAATAGCATGTACCTTATTAATGTTTAATTTACTAATAATGACTTTATGATTTCTAAGGATAAAGTTGAACTTATCCATTAAAGTATTATAAAAATTTTATGCTTCTAATAACAAGTCATTAAAGGACAATCGAATTAAAGGTTTCGAGAATTAGTCACGCCAATTTTCTATAACCTTATAGATGATACTCTTATATGATGATGATGCTGACTAAAATTATGAGAACTCGTACGGAATAAACACTTTAAATGCTTACTTAACGTTATAATATCTATTTTGAAAGGTATGAGTAAATTTTAATATTTTACCGACAGTGAATATCATACTGAAAGTTTAGAATATAAATTATTGAGAATTTGAGATATTCGATCATTCGGACTGTGAGCGAAACTTTAAGTGTATCAGCCATGTTATCTTTATCAATATTTCGTTACTTTTATTAATACTGCTAGTAAATTCAGTGCTAGTTCAAATTTAAAATCAATTAATTGCGCCTTATCAGTCTTAAGTCATTTCATTGTTTGCAAGGCAGGAAAAAATAATGCAGATGTATAACAAGTATAAAAGTTTTACTGATATTCAGAAGCTGATTATTTATATTTATGATATCACGAATAAGATCTGAGTCTTCGCTTCATCTCCACTAAAGTTACATAAGATATGATAATATCATATGTAACCCGTAAATATAGGTCATTAAATAATATTCTCTATATAAATTGCTCAGAAAATATCATTTGATATATACTGTATAACTATACAATTTTAAAAAATTAGTTTGCAAATAATTCATAAATAAATTTAATAACATTCTAATTAGAACGTATTATCTCTTATGTATATGAACGTGACCGTATGCGAAATCGGTCATTTTGCAAACTGCCCTGTATATGGGTAGACACGCGTATATACTTGTATGTACATCTAATGGAATAATGTTCTAGAAATAACAGCTTAGACAATATCATCTTTAGAAACATAAACTATTAAATTCATGAAAATAACTCGCAACTAGAATTGAAAATTATCTATATACTGATATGCGTCCGCAAAGATAAGTCAAAAGATGCTACATTCTACAAATAAATAATTAAGAATCAAAGGTCATTTTACCAATAAACACTTTATGATACATAAAATTATTTCTCAACCATATAGATCAAGTGACAACGTACTCATATTGTTTAATGAATAAAAATCTTCGATTATGTCATCACTCAACCTTATATAATATTATAAGCATTTTATCGCAATGGTAGAGACTACATCATTACTAGGACCACAAATAAGTTATACATATCCGTGTGCATATAAGTGGTAGATGATCTACATAAATAAATAGGATAGAATATGTCATTACTCTACTTGTGTAAAGCATATTGTTCATCAAGCTGTTAATTGATGACATATATGCATACCTTATACGGTCAATGACCTATGGCAATTAAATTGCATAGACCCATCACTTTAACTTTGTATAGCTTATCATAATTATTCATCAAGCAGTTTATTTAAGATTTATAAAGCTCTGATACTTGAAACCATAAATGAGTTGTAAATATCCGTATACAGGTATATACGCGCATAAACATACGAGTATATCTTTACGGTAAATGATCGATATCTTAACCAATAAATTACGTAGAACATTCTATTGTTTGAATTGTATAATTCATGTCATCTATCAAGCTTTCAATTGAAAATACATATGTATGCAGTATACGATAAAGGACCTATGACGATTAAATTGCATAGAATATTCCATCGTTTTTGATTCTACAATGCCTATCGTTCATCAAGTAGTTTATTGACAATTGATAAAATTGCATCATACCCTGGACCCTAAAGTATACTTTCTATCTACTCGTACACCAGAATATTATAATATAGAAGTCTATTCTAAAATAGACTGCGTAGAATGTATCATCGTTTTGTACACCTATAAAATTTGTGCTTCAAGTTATGATGCCATACCATCACTTAACAGCAAAATATTATGGCTATTTAATTGTTACAAGGATGAAAGCACATAATCAAACTATTAATTAGGAAGAGAAAACCTTATTGATGGCTCAATAGATCTATTTTACCGGTCTCTACGCTTATCATCCTTACCATGAAATAACTGGTTAAGATTTCATTAATTCTCCATCAAGGTGATTTGGGATAGATAGACTGATCGACGTTGTTATGGCAACCAAATCAATAATGGTCTTCTTCTTCTCGATGGTTACGTAATAATTTTATGACGTCAAGTAAAGCCAAACTGTATCGATCATTCGATCGATTCTATCCTCCATTTGCTGAAGGATTATAGTTTTCATGCAGGAATGATCATCACTATAAGGTATCTATGTCGTAGCTAGCGGATCAATTCTAACAAAGATGGAATTGTCCTATTTTATCAATAATTGTAGTCCTGATAATCAGCCATGATAGGCCAATTGCATGCGATAGAATTGTTTGTTTAATTAGAGGAATCAAGTCAAATTTTTTCCTCCTCATTTTACTTTTCAGTATAGGATAGGTTGAGGGACGACATCAACCGATATAAAGGAATAATCGACTAAACAATTTTTTCCAGATATTGATCTATAAGGAAAAACAATCAATTATGACGTCGTTAACTTGGATATGGAAATAAGTTGATAACGTCGATGAACGACGATCAATCATCTAGAAAACTATTGTTCTATAATGGGAAAGAACTGAAATAATGTTGAATGGTTTTATCTAGCCAAGAAATCATTGTAGAAAGAATAAACAACTTTAAAGAAGAAAGGGCAAACAAAGACAAGTATGAAAATAGGTCACATGCATTCTTTTTTATCAAAAAGATGGTATTTATCAAAGTGGGCTGTATAGTCATCATCCTCATCAAGTAGTAGACCGACTTAGTAATCTATTTTAAGTTAATTATGATCATCCTGTTATTATCTGAATCGATGATAATTAAGTATTTCATCAGAGGTACAAAGATATGAATAAAAGATGATAGTTGCATTATGCAGTAGAATGTTATTTTCCCCTTGATTCGATTGGCTACAATCGCTTCCCGTCATAGAATAATTAACAATCTAGCATGTTGATGACTTTGCTACGATATCGCCACTCGTTCTTCTATACTAATTTGCTGTTGATAATGACAGAAAAGTTGCCGATCATAGCCCTTATTATTACCGTTGAAAAGACATTTACTTACGATAACTTAAGCTATACTTATCATCATATAATTTAATATGAGTTGGTGTCTTGTTTAGTTCAGTCTATACATTTGTTTTTTTCGATTACCCCTCATTTTAGAAATTGAATAAGTTAGTCTACTGTAGCAGGAATAGAAAACATTGAAAAGTAATACGGAAAAAGCTGAAAGCATCTTCAACAACATCCATTAGATACGTTGATTACTATTATTGAATTGACACGAACAAGTAACCATCGTTTTCGTCATCCAAATCATTTTCCATTGATATATTTGAAGAGAACGGGAAAAGAAATATCGTTAATTCAAGCCAAGCCCGTATTTTCCTGATTTGTTGGGGTAAGAAAATAATTTTTAAATTTGACTAGACTAAAGATAACTGTTTTGTACGGTTTAAGACAGGAAAACTTTTCATCATTGTCATGCCACGATAGCAAGTCGTCGCTTAAAAAATAACGATAATTTTCCGTATCAAATAATTGATCGTCAGTCTTGCACTATAGATAAAAACATTCATAATTTGGATTACTTACTTTCTACTTATGTTTTCAATAAGATGCCATAAGTAGTTCAGTCCGCCATTCATCATACTAATTTACAATTCATTTCTACTCCTCTTTGTAAATCAATATAGATATTGGCCGAGTGGAAAGTATATAAATTGAAAGGCTAATCTTCGCATGTCATTTAAACGTGTGATTGGCTATTTGGAAAAAACTAACCTAGCAATAGAGTAGGAATAAATACTTCAAAGGGCCAAAAGTATAGCCGATTACTCATCAGCTAGATAGAATTTACATCGATCAAGTATTAATAAAATTATTCATCATGAAAAGTATTATAATCTCTTCATACTTGCCTATGATGGCTTGTATCTTATTAAGTTTGATGACAGCAACAGAAAGTAAACGATTCGTTGGCGTTTATAGTCAATATACGGTGAGACTATTTCTAGTCTAGGCAGTAATCTCTTTTAGCATAGAAGTGAGTCTTCTTTTATCGAAAGATCAAGTCGCAAAAAGTAGACTTATCAATATTAATGTAGTATCCAATCGTTAAAAGTAATTAGCAGCCTTTATAGCTATGGAATCCATAGTGAAGATGTCATATCCATGCAGGGGTATATCTTACATCATATACTATAACAATATTCGAAGATAGTCCATCAACTTCTCATTTGATATTTTCTTTACCATGTTTCAACTTATGAAGTTTAAAATTTTTTCGATCCTTTTAACGTCGATGTGGTTCAGGATATACCGTAGTTAATAATAATTATTAGTAATTGATCGCTGCAATTAAACATCTCTAATACTAGTTAGCGATTACCTATAGTGAATTTTCTTCTGACTTAGAGAATCATTTTCTAGCTAAATTGGGGGACTTTTTCTTCAGTATTATCATTCATAATACCATTTATAATTTTTCCACATAATTAATGATGTAATAAGAAAATTACATGGATAAAATTAAATCTATTCTTATCACTGGTTCTTGATGGTTACATTTTACCTGAAAACATGCATCAAATAAGTAAATTAGGAGAGATTAGCATGTCCTATGATAAGAGGATAATTATTATGGAGTTCCTATTTTACTGCATTTGGAACCGGTTATGGTGATAATAATTCATTGATTTCTACAGTTGATAGAATTATTCCTTTACTATTAACAATTCATAAATCACTAGAGTATTAGCAAAATTGGCGAAATAAAATTTCACCGACGACTATTCGATAGGTTAGCTAGTTCCCGTTGAATTTTAATAGTTCTTGAATTTTTACTTGAAATGGAAGGCAATAATTCGTTCCAAGTCTACCGATTAAGTATATATTTCGAAAAAACTAAAAATTGATACTAGTATCTATAAATGATATACCAGTATACCACATCTAAATGAATGTTATAAAATATCCTCTAAATAATTAACCTTCTTTAATTACTGTGTATAGTATCATAGTAGCCAATACTGTCGCTGAATTTTCAATATCCATATCTTAATTAAACTATTCAATATTACAATGAGTGAAATAATTTTGTTTCTAAAATATTCAAATTATGCACTTGTTAATAATCAAAATTACTAAATACTTTTGCTATAGGATTGGGGATTTCTCACTAGATTCACATTTCTTGCGGAACATGGTTGGATCCGCTACCAGTTAATCTACCCCCAGGTAAGGAAGAGATAAAGGAAATTATTTCAGTCTCTTTTACCCTAATGTCGCAATTGATCTATCTAAATTCCACCTTACACCATTAGAGAATTTGGATTCTGTATTGTTGTTCTAGCTGTTCTAGTACATTTCTATTCTACGCCTTACGAATACTTTATCACGAAATGTCAATATAATCATCAGGAAAAGATTTTACCTTGACCATTTTGCAAATTATTTAGTTATACAAATTTAAAGATATTACATCAAAAGTAAATTATGTAATAAAAGTTATAATGTTGCTATCAACAAGGATTTAATTTAATAACTTTTACAACAATTAGATTATTTCTACATCATAAATCAAATGACGCTAAGATTAAAATTCTAATACTTTATTTTCTCAACCATCTTGACGGTTGTGGCCTCAACTAATTTACTGCTGTAGTTGTTTGTTCATATTAAAGATAATCAAGAAAAATTTTAAATGAAGATAGTAGCAATCTGCAATCCCTGTTACTCTTAGCAACTTTGATAAAATTCTGAACGGCTGTTGATTAAGATGATGAATAAAAAGATCTCAACCCGTATAATATGCAATCTACACTATACTGATAACCGTAATCAGGGCAGAAGTCGCAATCGATACCGGTAGTTTGCGATGGTAGGTTACAATAAAGCCCATTGCCGTGCCTATCTTTATGCAGCAATCAGAATAAGACGATCGATCACTTTATTAAATATGTCAATTGCAGAAGCAGAACAAATAATTCTCTAATTGCTTTAACAACTCATTTTTCACTTTACAAGCTTATCATATATTCGTTGAACTGAATGTTGCTAAGTGCTTCAGTTAGAATGGAAATCTTCTTGTTATGAGATAAATTTGTTAATGTTGGCTTGGATATCAGAATATAATTAATGACTAGCTGAAATTTTCAATTGGATCAATTTCTATCACTATTACAATCTGAATAAGGCTATTGTTGATGACCTTTACAATGTCCTTCTTGTTAGGAATACTGTTGCGAGAATTTACTGTTTTATTACGATGAACCCCATCAATGGCCGGCTGCTTACAAGACTAATTTGGTATAGAGTAATTACAATTTTATAACTTGTCATTAAATATCGTTCAATATCTAAATTGACACTTAAACAACAATGTAGCCAATACTATTAGAAATAATACTAGACATAGGTGGATCTCTTTTTAGCTACATTTTGTAATTCATTGACTTTACTTACCTTGAGATAATACGTTGTGATTTGTATTGCGTTAAATAATAGAATTGCTCTCAAAAGGAAGCCCTTCTTGATAAGAATTCAGGTCAAATTGTACCTTTAAATCCTTTATTTTTGGGCTCTGGGTGTATACGTGATACAATCAATGGCGTTAAAGTCTTCAAATGTACATGTAAGTAGACTATTATCGTTTCCATATCCTATTACTTTACTTTGTCAAGGAGCCAATATCCACTGTTTTATAGTTCCTAATATCCGTTCAAATGATTGATTGAATATCTAGTTGCACGAAGATTTAGAGCTGCTCGAGCAAGATGGTGGTACATTGCTATCAGTAATTGTAATCGAAATCCGAAGGTGATTATTAGAGTCTATATATGGAACAGATTATTGACCTACATTAGATGAATGGATTGAGGTTAAATCATGCGTCTATTTCCGTCCGTTCTAATTTATGGTCGAATTATATTGATCTTAGAACCCATTGTATATGGAATATAATATCAACATGACCAACGGATATCTAGATTGGAACAAAGAATTCTCAGCTGATGAATTTGGTAAGATTGATACAGGGATTGATTAAGATGACAACGGTTAGCTATAATTTTAAATCGAAAAGAGTATTTCTATTTCATCTATTATGAAATATTAAAGGTGAAAATGAAGTTGATGGCAATACTTTAACGTTACCTACTAGAATAGATCAAGATAAGAATAGATTAAAAAGCAGTTCCTATCTTTCACCTAGTATAAAGTCCCACAATCGAAATTAACTCGACAATAGCAATTGAACGCTATATCTAGTAGAAAAGATCAAGATAAAATGATGTTGACAATAATATCTACATTTCATATGATGTATGCCTAGTGATGAAAAGGATTTGATAATAGTATTAGATATTTCATCTACGTATCTGTAAAATTATGCTCCTACCAAGACAAGAATGAAAGGTGAAAATAATATCCATATTTTATCTAGTACCAAGTTGTGTGACAAATTAAGTTGAAAATAGCACCTCAGCATTTAGGTACCGTAAAGTATTATGATATGAATGGAGTAACTAATAGTATTTCAATTTCATCCACTATAAAATATTATTATTTATTCGAAGCAGAGTGAATAATAGTATTAAACGTTTGACTTACTAGAAAAGGCCGTGACAAAAACGTAGGTGTTTTTAAAACTGGTTCTTTGATCCGCTAAAAAGTATCGCAATCAACAATTTTATCTATCAAAAAAATCACAATAAAATTTAGTCGAGAATAATAACTGATCGAGTGCAAAGTTTGATGATAAATAACTATTTAATTGAGCTGACAATAGCTTTATACGTTATCGGTCTGGCAACTCTACAATAAAGTTGATATAGATACTGATAATATATTTTATCGGGTGTAAATTTCATGATAATAAAACTCACCTTACAATAGTAATGGGTATTTCATCGAACAGAATATATCATGATCGATATGAATTGATAGTAACCTTTCTATTTACTTAAATAGAAAGATTATTCGACAACAATGAAAGACTATTCAAGGTCGTTAAATAATCACTTTAAAATCAGATAGATCTAGCCAGATTGACATCGATTATTTTCATTTATTTCTTAGCGATTTAATCATTTCATGAGATCGTAAACGGGTTGATTAAGAGGAATTGAGAATAAAATAAGTGATTGTGAACCCCAAGATTGGTCGAAATAAATTTATTCAATCAGAATACACTATTATTACAAAAATGTGTCTATAGATATGAATGGCAATTGTTTACGCATAGAACTCTTTCTTATGCCTATTATTACAGTACCTTAGAACATTCATTACTTAAAAATTGTGTCTCTTTGCTCGTTATACTTTAAATTTAGTCATTGATGAATAGATCTAAAGAGTTTTACTCTTCGATTATTGTAATCCTTTTACAACGATTTTTGCTACTGTTTAAAAAATATTGGATATTATTTTCTATTATAACGATCTTCTAACTTTAATGGTTAACAGGAATTCTTGAAACAGATGTCGCCTTCTTCATATGCTTTTTAGTCTTGAGTATTGCTTCCATTGTTGTTGCAGGTTTGTGATAATTAGCAAGTTTTTAGTAGCTGATCTAGAATTAATTTAGTTAATTTAATCCTTACGGTAATATTCATGGAAAGAAAGAGAGATGGATAGATAGCAGTATTTATTTTTAGGCGGTCTGTTATGGAAATACAGATATTAGTTAAACAAATGGCTAAGATAGATTTATAAGCGAAATCTTACTATTTTGGCTTTACATCACCACTGTTGATTCATTAATTAAAGCTTTCTATTTTTGCTATTTCAAAACTATAGTTATTTTAAAAAATCGCCAGCTATTCCATTCTACTTATAAATACTTCATGGCTGCCTTATTTTTACAGAGTAAGTCATGATAATATATTTTCCTTCGATATTTTGTATCTTATTTTTATAATGATTACTATTAGATTAATTGTCGTTAAAATCTTAACTATACGAGTATATTAAGAGATTGTCCTCATCCATTATTTTATTAGCCTTTGGAGTTATGTTTTCGGTGATTCATTATGGTGTATACGCACAAAATGGCATAGGAGTAGAATTTCTTAGACTATTTGGTAAGAAATTCGTTTTCTTTATTTCTATCTTTTGTATTAATGGGCTCCTTTTCGACTGTTTACTTTTAAAACTATTATCAAAATTTTACTATACTGACTGCACAATTTACTCTTTAAACTTAGTTTTAACAACTCTGACATAAATTGCTGCATCTTGCAACAGTGTTCTTTAATCTTTAATACGTAAAAATGTAGAGAAAGGATTAGATTTAGTATTTGAATCTATGTCAATCATAACTTAAATGCATGAAATATCTTATTTTCTTTAGGTCGGCTCCTATTAGCTGCAAGTGATTTAGTATTCTTACTCATGGTTATTCTCTTGGCTAAAGGTTATACAGTCGTCAGGTATATTTTAAAAAAATAGTATGTTTATTAACTCCTATACTATACAGTATAATATTTGTTTTAACATTGTCTAATCCTTTTGCCTTTTCTCGTATGAACAGAGGTAGAATAAGCCCAGGTGGATTGGTTAAAATCGCTGTCTTGATGACATTATATGTTATTGCCTATATTGCATTATATATCTATGAAGCAAGAGTAAGTGATAAATGATGAAATTAATTCTTGTTCTTATGAGATTATAATAATGTTGTGACTTACTTTTGATATCATCAGTTTTTTGATCCTGGTGAAGTATTGTATTTATACGAAAGTCCAGCTGGTATTGGATTAATTGCTTTGCGCATAATTGTAAGTGATAATTGAAAATTTCCTAACGATAAGAGGAAGAAAATTAAGTAAAGTTATAGCTTTTATCTAATTTCTCATCTTCATTTTATGATTTCATCATAGGCTTGGTTTTGGTTTCTTTACGCCAATTTTATTACACTTAAAGATTACGCAGATAAACGTGTTTTCTATTCTTGGTTTATCGTCTTATATACTATATGGTGAGATGGTTTTTAATTTCAAAGCTTTCCTTCATATTGAATCCGTCACAGATGTCGTGGAAGAGCATGAAGATAGGAAATAATAATTGATAATTTTTGTAATTGATTTATTATTAGGTTTCTAGTGATACCCGTCTTAGTATTATGCGCTCATTTTTGGATTTCTAAATGGGCAAGGTAAGAATAGGTGGTCTGTCTTGATGTCATTATCTTAATTAGTTTATCATTAATCTACATAGTTTGATTAACAATCTATTTATGATTATAATTTTAGGGCTAGAGTGGTTAATGGAATCGAGTTTGCCATTACATTTTATGCTTATGGCTTATTCTTGGTAAGTACGGAACTAAATCATTCTATTTAGGATTACAAATGAACGTATTTGATGCTATGGTATTTAATTATAGTGTTGTAATTGTTACTATATATTGTTGGAATTAATTAGATTTTGACTTGGCCAACTCGTGCTAACTCCACATTTCCATTCCATATCAGGACAACTCAGGTGAATAAACTTTAATGTGCACATGGGTTAACAGTAAATTAGTATTCTATCACATACTAGATCAGTAAATAGACACTGGCTATAGTGATATTTGGCTAAGGAAAATCCCTAAATTTGTCCTTTACTATGTGTTGTTGAATAAATTTTATTTTCAACTTATTTAACTGTCGATAAGTTATAAAAGCGCATAAATATAAGACATCATTATTACATAATATGTATAAGTCTGATTTCTCTGCTTTCTTCCTTCAGCATTCGATTAGTGCTATGGGAAGAAATTTGCGTTATCAGCTTATTCAGTTATTAAGACAAAGTCTAACAGTGAATTCTATGTCTGCCTTATTATAGCTTATGAGTACTATTTGTAAGCACTTACTCGTATATTAGCAACTTATATAGAACCTACAGTACATAATTTTACTGATAGAGCTCGAAATAAATCATTTTGGCCTATGTAGAATCCTGTTCATTTACAGTGAATTACCATATCCTTTGCAATATCTCCCAATATGATGGTAATTGGTTATGATTCTTACAACACTGTTTATTATCGACTTATTTTAGATTGGAGCATTAAGTGAAGATGAGAGGTCGGATAATTTCGGTGGCCGTGCTTATGCAGTTGATGGCGATCAAGGAAAACCTTGCAACCGTGATTTAACTGATATGTTTGCAGCCAAGCCAACTGCTGGGAGTGTCATCAAAGGCAATATACCCAGTTAGAACTTAAGATATGTAACATGGAAACACAGGTTGATTCATTGCAAAAAATATTCTTGTTTTATGCCAACAAGAGTAGCAGCGGATCAATTTTGGAGAAGTTTTTGCGGGTCATACGAATATAAATAAGACAACAATGTAGCTATAGTTATAATATGGATTAGAGCTGAATGTATTTATGAAAAAATAGTTTTACCATACCTATTTCATCTATATCATCATAGTACAAGCTCGATGGATATATAACTATTCAAGTGTATTAAATCTATTTGATCCCACGATAAGAAAATTATGTCATCAATCTTATCCATAATAATTTGTCACGTTGTAAACTGATAAAAAGTACTGAGAAGACAGTTTTAATTGCATTTTTTTGTCATGTCTTCTACTTTGTTATGATATTACAGTTCATTTAGTGATAATTAGTAACGCAAGCTATTGAACAGTTTTGTTTCACTGGTAGTACAGCTAGCTTATAGCATACATTTTAGAATATAGTTATAGCAATTTTAAGCTAGAAAATGCAAGCCAATACATCTGTTTATACCGAGAACTTGATTATATATTGACTTTATCTAGATAGCAATAAGGAAAGCGTTTTAACTCATGAAGGAGTCAATTAGTACTTAATGATCCTTCTTGAATTTTTAGGTATTTAAAAATTTTAATGAATTTAATGTATAAATTTTGGTATTTTGTGCATACTCGTTACGTTAAGTAGATTCGCCAAGGTATCAATGCCATTAAATGCCATTAGTTTAATGCTATTGCTATGCTAACTATACATGGAGGTCTTTATGCAATAATGATTGCTAGAAATGGGCGTTAGAATGATTGTTATCATGTATTAAATTAAATCGGAGTTGGCTATAATCTATTTTTGTTGCTGAAAATGATGATGAACTTTTAGAACGGTATACATGTCACCTTTCCTGTGATATATTATAATTATAAGGAGTGTAGATGGAATTATATTTATTCTGTAAAGCAATTTTTATGACGAACGGTCGTAGCTTTTATTTCATAAATATCTCCTGATGTAATTATGACTTCTCAAATACATTTCATAATGGCTTGGTATTATGTAATAGTTAGATGTGGTCAAGTCTCTCCCAACTTGAATCTGTCACCTCACAATATTCACTTAGATAGCTCTATAGCTATTTTCTTCAATGAAATGGCAATGGTACAAAAATGTGACAGTGATAATCATCAAAAGATTATCTGTTGCTTTTAATTATTGTAATATGACTAATTGAATATTTTGTTTTTGTTAATATCATAATGCTATTTCTGTGGGAACACAATAAAAAGTATATTCCTATCATAATTTATTCTTAGTCTTCAATTTTCAGAGTAAGTTAGAGAGAAAATAGCATATGAAAACTGATTGCTTCATTATAACTTAATGCAAGGATTGATCCAATTTAATCTAAATCATTAAACAATTATATTTATTTATAAATGACTTTACCTACTTATTTAGAGAAAGTAAAGTACAGTTTTATGAGACTCTTCAAATCTGGAATATCTAATTCTATATTCAACAGTCGGTAATACATAAAATCCTTGGAAATAAAATTTTATTTGTTTATTCTAGAGCAACTTGGAATCAACGTAATCATTGCTAGTAATTGTATGATGATAGTTATAAGTAAAAATTTGAAATGTTACATGACTGACATGAGATAATCTTTTAATATATTTTAGGCACGATAGACTTCATTCTCGATGCTTTATCTTCCTTGTTATCGATGTTAATGTCAAATACAGACTGGCATAGTTATATTAGTACCCACTACTTACAACGATTGGATCTATACAATCTTATACAATTTGAAGGTGTTGTAAAAGTATACCTTGTAATATAGAATAAAACAAGAACAAAGGGAAAAGAAAAGACAGCATTATTTCCAAACCTTGCATTGATAACATAATTTAATATCAGATTGATATAATAAATGGCTGACAGTATTGAAATAGAACGGTAACATACAGATTTGAGAAAGTTCTTTGATCTACATAAGCATAAGCTTTATTGCAAATACAATAAACTTAAATAGCTATTTGACAACACAACCTATCTATATTTGTTGTCTTGGTTAACCAATAAAGTCACCGAGCATAAGTATTCATATACAGTAGTAATGTTTTTAAACATCAGTCATATAATTATCATTAATCAGCAGGTATAAGCAATGGGACTGGCATAATATTATCACAGAAGTATAAAATATTATTAACAAGTTTTGGTAAAATTTAAATTTATCATATAGCCCTATAGGACTAATTCCTTACTTTACAGTATATTACAATAGACTTTAATTGCTCCTACATTTAAACCAAAGGTCACGGCCTAATGACCACGAATGGAGTAACTGATACTTTCTTAACATAACTAAGTGTCGTCGTATCTCTCTTCCTATATATTACATTCGTACTATGCATAGTTATCTAACTCCATAAAAAATGTAGTCCATGCTAATTTCAATTCCAATTGCAACAATTTAAGGATATACGTAGTATCGAACTATACGACAAATAGTAAAATTGTTGATAGTACATAAACTCTTTTTATCTATCAGCAATGCAAGCTGTAATGCACGGCATTCTTACTTGTACATCCTCATGCGCATTGCGAAATTATACATTATGATTTATATAACAACAGGACGGATTTTCAAAAAATTGTCTTAAATTAATATTTTGTAAAAAATTTCTATCATAACTTATGGGGTTGTCATTGTTGATTGATATGCAAATTTAACTTCCAGGTACATAGGTAGCGATGAATCCTTAAGGTTGAGACTCTAGTTGTAATCGAAAGATATAAAAATATGGTCAACTATTTCGGTGCTAAATATAGGGAAATATTTATTTAAGTGCTAAAAGCAACCATTATGTCGCAGATGAAACGTAATATCTTTATCTTACCATTCCTGTCCGATTCGTCAGGAGCATCCGCGTCTTCGCGTACTTTTTTCATAACTTGTACATACATTTCATATAACTGTGAATTTGATCGCCTAGTTACGGTTGGAGGTTTGACAGCGTAATCGATTTCTTGTGTTTCTTCCGGAAAAATTTTACTAATAATTAGCATTAACGTTTCCGAATGGGTAGCTGTAAGAGAATAAAAAGTAATATTATATGATTTGATTTGTTAAATGTCGTCAGTGTTGTAACATTAAATGCTTTCATATCTTGCAAATAGCACAGTTAGTGTATTGGCAATGGATATGAATTAGAATTCACTTAAACTGTATATATTGAGCTTTGATTTACACCATATTAAATACCTTTGTTTAGCAATCGCGCTACTAGCGCAACGATTACAGAACAATAATGATAATACAGATAACATAAATTAATCTCAGGATAAAGAATTCTACATTGTTAATAGTGAATGCAGTCAATTAGACGATTATACATTACAGGATCTAAGAAATCCAATTACTGTTTGTAGCTTTCAACGGATACAATTGAATTACAAAACGACAGAAATACGGTATATAAAAAAGAACTTAAAGTGGCGGATCGCTCATCAATTGGGGCTATATTTCATTGTTGAATTCAATTTATTAACAAATTTTGAATTTAAAATTCGGACGCAAGATATAAACATAGAGACAATAATACTAATACTTACCATCCATTGGACCTTCCATGATCATAACCCATGTATTACAAATATTTTGCTTCGTCCTTTCATCGTCTTCATCTGAACTTTTAGATAATGCAGATAGCATTGGTATGATCGTGTCGGTGACAATTTCGATCACTTCATTAACATCTTCTTCTGTTACAGCCTCCTTAAACATACGTACCACAGCTTCATTTACATTCTGTAACATTCATAAAAAATTGATATGGTTAATTTTAAAATTTTTTTAATACATTAAAGGAGCATGGAAAGACAACGTTATAATAACCAGTAATGCCTGACGCCTATAATGTCCTATAAGGTGCTGGTCAACTGACTCCAAAGTATGATTTTCCGCACGGAATTTATCGTTAAGAACGTAAGCATAATTGAAGTGGGGTAGAGCAAAGGCATATCTAATTTTTAGTCCAATAAAAACATGAGTTCTTCCTACCTATATATCATTGCCTGATTAATAATTACTACATTAGGTTATAATCCCAATAACTGTAGAGCATACGTACTTTGTTTGTACAAGCAAGTCCATTCCGGTCAATACATGGACATTGACTTTAAGAAAATTGTGATATTTGTCTTTCCAATCCTAATTAAAATAAGAAAAGTAAAGTATCTTATATGAATCTCGAAAGCCATACATACAATTCGATATTAATGTAAATTTCAAACTATGTCGCATACTTGGTAATTACAATATATATCATTCGCACATATTTTCTCCCATTTTACTTCAGCTAACTTTTGAAGACTAAAGTGTATAACAAAAATCATTGTTAGACTTGAAAGAGATAATTTTAGGTAATAGATTTAAAGTATCAAACCTAGCATTATCGCCGCAACCGTCATTGCAAGCGCTTTCAATGATAGCCCACTCAAGCATAGGACTTGACACTTTACATACAATCAGATATATACCAAAATCGATCAACCGAATATCTTCTTTACTGTTGTCCTCTTTGCGCACTATTTCTTTAAATTGTCTTATTTTCTCCGTACACCATCGGCGGAAGGAGGCTTCTAAGGCTAAATACGTAAGAACCATTCTGTTAGTAAAAGTAGGTATTACACATTTGTTAACTCTAGGTTGACAAGTAATTAATTTTATACTTCGTTCTTCCCAATCTTTTAAAGCTTTATAAAATTTTGTATTGTGATCTCTGACAACTTCATGTAGCGCCGGGGATAATGAATCAACAATTTTGTCCTTCGAATCTAGAATGAAGTCAGGCAATAACGGAAGCAAGTGATATTGATGTCATTAATAGTGTGTTTAGAAAATAATGATATAATTTGGCTAGTGCTATGTTGTACTATGCGATTGAATGAGGAAAAGTGCATACCTGTTTCGAAATCCCAGCATTGGACGATATCGTCACTTATATAAATTAAACAGTATGCGCTAGTATGTGATCGCCCGCCGCCTCTTGATTCACGTTTAACTTCTTCCCAAGTGACTTCGTATACTTGAACATCATTAATTTTGAGCCATTTATTGTAGGATCTCCAATAAATAAAGGCCCAATAATGTCCACTATCGACTTGACCCGCATGCACAAGTACGGCATGCAAATGATACTTTACCTGTAGAAGGTATTTTGAAATTGCACAGCCATAAGTGAATTTTCGAAACTAAAAATGTTACACGACGCTCCTTTATGCAGACTATCATGCTATAGTATAAATAGCCAGTTACACATTACGGTCTTTACGATTTAGTAGTATCAGTTCAGCATACAGTTTAGTATTAGGTTTTATACATAATCTTAATCATTTAAACTTGCACGATAGAATGATTTTAAAAATAAATTGAGTAAACCGAAATATTAATAGAACAGGATATTTATATACTCGTAAGTTTATAATATAACAATATGAAATAGCTGTAGATTAAGCTTATGCCTCATGCAATCTACAAACCTTGCGCATATCGTCGTCTTGGAACATCTGCTCTATAGCTTCTTCAACAGATGCAATTTTTTCTCGTAGCGCTATACCAATTTATTGCATTTTCGTAATTTGATAAAAATAAAAAATATTAGGTCGCAAGTATGGCTGCAGGTTATCAGGGAGTCTAAAATTATACACTTCTAAGACATAATAATACATATCTAAATTTGTTTACCATCGACTTCTTTAGTTATTTCTGATGACCATCGCTTTATGCATTTTTCTAATGTTATCAGTTCTTCATGATCAATTTCATGATTTAGGGCAAACAAGGACATCGGATTTTTATCATCAATAACGAAATCCTTGTCACTATAACTTGCGGTATCTACATCCATGTCAATATTGTTCTAATGCAACGGTATGAAAAATAATGAAGTTATAAATGCTGTAAACAACGGACCTATGCATCATTATTATAGAAAGGTTTCTACTATTTTACCATACCTTAGTGTTTTCACTATCACACGCCTCTTGATCTGATGAGGCTGGGCGTTGTCTAACATCCAAAGCAAAATTTAATGTATACTGCAAAATATCTTTGATAGGCAGGCGCTTAGAATCGTTACCGAATGAAGTATATCTAAATGAAAATTAGCAAATGCAACAATAAGTGATAAAAGACTTTTTTCATTTCTTATATTGGAAGTATTTTACTTTTCAAGTTTTCGTTTCAGTTCTTTCAATTCCTTTTTTAATTTATAAACGACTTTTTGTCTTTGCGTTGTAACGTCTTTGTTAGACTCTAGAAATCTATCCAAATATCCAAATTATTGTATGCAATCTCTAATTTGAAGTTAAAATTACATGCATAATCGTATACGTCATTCTATTACGAATTTGTATCTAATACAGTCGAACTGTTTATGCAAAAAAAAATATAGTGATATGATACCTGTCCATATATAAAGTTTGTTCAAATTCCAGTAAGGAATGAATCTTTTCGGCTCTGCCAAGGGTAGAGTGAAATTCAAAACGAGATAATTCCAGCATAAATATTGGAGGTAAACTAAGAAACCAATCCTATGGTAGAGATTGAATATTACAGATCATTAGGTCAACAGTTCTTGATAATTAAGAACAAAGATATGAGATATAGATTTATGAGGTATTTTATGAAATCAGAAATACCGTTTGATTAGTAGAGGACATTGAACCAATCATGTTCTGACGGGTATTAACTTCCAAACATTCATAAAGTCTTGTACAGCCCTGAATTTTTAAAGGATAGCCACCGAATGTATCTTCATGCGTAACGCCCTTGCCTAAGAGAATTATGGGTGTTTTACGGTTAAAGCAGTCAGTGTTACATTACGTTATGTAAAATAAAGAACAGCTAGATACCTTCGATTTCACTTTCGTATCGGACTTTGCCAAAGAAGAATTCGGTAATTGGATTTGTTAGTATTGATGGGCTATCATCGTTCAGCAGACTAGTAAAGGCATTTTAAGGTGTACTTTAATTTCGTTAATAGAAAATGAATGAACATTTTATAATTGCAATCGATAATGCGAGTAAAATGATTAGATAGTGTTCAAGTAAATACTCACCCAATTTTTTTCCTATATTTAATGCAAATTTCAAACGCATCTTCTAGCCACTCCAATAATTTGTGTGTAAATTCATTGACATCCTACAGTAATATTAAACATTTGTGACTAAAGCGAGCATAGAACAAAAAATTCGGTAGTAGGGAATCCTGCGTACTAACCTGTTGTCCGCCTGAGTTTCCAGAAGTTTCCGACCTAAAAGTCTCGCTTACTTGCTACAATTTAAGTACATAGCAAACGGTGTGAATTGACACATTATTAATTATATAGGTTATAGCTAATTATAGACTAAGTACTACTTAAAAAAAAATTAAGTGCTATAAATTTATGAATAACAAATAGGAACTATGGACGATCAGTTCTTACTAACTAATTAGATCAAAAACATGTCGTACCTTAAAATATTCATGCGGCTCGATGTACTTGCGTTCACTTCCAGCTAATAGCGCAAAAAGCGGTTGTAACTGTGCTATAAAGATGATACTACCCTAAATATTTAAAGAATTAATATTATCATACAAATTATGCGCTAACTCTTTCATTATGCAATAAAATCACAAGAGTAGTAACAATCGTTAGTTACAATATAGGTAATGTTTACAAAGTATAGCTGATATTCAATGTAACAACATAAGGCAGTATCTTAATGTACGCACAATGATCAATCATACCCTCGATTTTAGTGGATTACTATCTGCATAGCCACTCAATAGCATTTCCTCTGATATTCTGTAGTCCAGGACTAGCTGGCGGACTACAGGTAAATGAAACAGCGACTACAAAATATACAAGAGGACGCATCAGTCTTATATATACACGTATAATTATTATGGCGATTACATGAAACAATTTTAACAATAGTAACTACAAGACAGTGTTTAAATATATTCCTGAAGTTATAAGCTGTTACACATTGAAGTATTTGGATAACAGCATATTACTTCAGAATAAAATATTATTATTGCATCTCCTTTATTCTGTGGTAAGCATTTAACAATCTTTCTACAGAGATCATAGAGTGCAAAATAATAACATACCGTATGTAGATGAAATATAACAGGACAACTGCGATCGAGATCTAGATTTACCTGTATAACAGCGTTGAACCAACAGCTGTTTCCTACGTTTTTTAATCCGACAGGAGCATCGCCACGTTTTAATTCGTAAGGATTAGGCATTCGTGAGAAGGAATCATTTCTCTTTCTCTTGGTACCATTGGAATTATTATCAAAATAGCTAGCTTCGATTACCCTAAACAGCAGTATGTCAAAAGCATATTACGTACTTTTCATATAAAAATATCGAGCAAGAAACATAAATTTAGTGCCAAAGTTGTAATCATTACTTTAGTATTAACAAACAAATATTTAATGTTGAAGAAGTTTTGATTCTTTCTATGTTAGGAATTAGTATATTATGATAAATAGATAACCTGCTGATATTTTGTTCTTCGATAGTACTAAGATACTGATCTGAAGAGGCCGCAGTTAAGTACTTATCAGAAGGCTACAAATAGCGGGATCAAATCAACTCATATTACGAATTGGTTATGATAAAAGAAAGCAGATATTTGTTAATTATTACAGGAATGGAAAGGTAATGTTTTCAATTAATTAACCTGCGTTACCGGCATGTCCGTATCGGGGTACGGTACATTTGTTTCCTGTAAACTTATTTCTACCGCACGAGCGATATCATCATCCATTTTGTCGCTAGTTAAATCGATTGTGATTTTATCAGCTTGTTTAAGAGTGTCCTTATCTGCAATCGAAAGACAATTACGATAGCTATTAAAAATTTTTGGTCAAAATGCACTTTATCCTTGCCGTGCACGCTAATTACTACTATCCGAATGAGCATTAAATTATCAATATCAAAGACAGTAAACATCTGCAATACACTACTACTGTATGTTCATAATATCATTTAAATTCGATTCTTTGTGGTAAAAGATACAAAATTATCCTTCAAATAAGTCTTACTGTGCTCTTTTTAAGTACCGTTACATCGATCTGTTTTTTTACAATATCATTCCATATGTCGTAATAGTGGAATCAATTTTAGCATGCTATCTACCTTCTCATTATAACTAATCATGCACTATATGCAATGGTGCTGATTGATCAGTAGTGACGTTACCGTCGTTAGAAAAATGCAGCATAAACAATATAATATATTCCAATACACAGTGATATATTTTGCAAATCTTATGTACTACAAATGTTAACCTTCAGTAAGCAAAATATTTTATCTAAAAACAAATATTACCTGTCGGCTGAGTCGCACTCTGTGTAAGTGATCAATCGAGCATAAAATAAATGATAATTAGTTTTCAATTCCGCTCAAGAACATTACAACAATCTCTTCCAATCAATCAAATAGTAACGGTTATTTAGTCTTTAATTACATGTATGAGTAATTATGTTTAATCAAGTTTTAACAACATGTACCAACGTAAAGTTTATTTACCTCCTGATTATTAGTATTGAACATTTCTAAGGCTTTTTCTAGATTACCGTTACATGCCTATGGGAATGAATGGGAATCATGCAGAGATTGATATGATGCTAAATATGAAACATTAGTATGTTATTGGTTTACTTAACATCGTTTTAATCAATAAATTCATCTATCTTGGTAATATACATTGGTTTTAAGAAAATCTAGTTGAAGGTTAATTTTGAAATGAGTGAGTATACGCCGCAATTGTAGGCTCCTATACCTACAGTATACAGTAGTTATTTGTATACGCAAGACAATAGCGTCACTACATCAAGTTTACGAACGATAGATCTTTTAATGAAAAACTATGAAGTATTGCATTAAAGTAGGGCCAAACTCTTCTTAAATTTAAACTATGATGCAGTAGCATCAATAAGATTGATTGATAATTGCTATCTAGATGATACTTATCTGCAATCTTTAAAAGATTGTTTTTATAATGTAGTAGGAAGAATGGTGAGGTAGCTTCCATCATGAAAAGCGTTACGTTGAGACTAACCTTCAGTACTTTTCGAATTTCTTCTAATGGTTTACCGGTTAACTCATATAACTGATTGATTTGATGTTGCCATGATGCGTCGTTGTCGTCTTCCGGGCTATTAGTAGATTGTTGTATATGCTCTTCTTCCTGTAAAAGTCATTTTTTCAACAATCAGGCTTAAAAACAAATTGGAAGATATTATTGGTAGTCTATGGTGACTACCATCTCTGTTCAAAGTTGCATAATCTCTTGCATCATATCATCAACTATATTATGCTCTATTTTGATATAGGATAAGATTGGTCTATGAGATCAAGGTAGAAGCTGTATGCCAGTAAAAAGTTGGCCCAAGTCAGGGCCTAGTGGTGATAAAGCTGTCCATCAGTATCATCGATAAGTAGCATACTGCTGTCGATCGAGGTAGTCCAATACACTAATCGTATAAAGGTATTTGTATGGAGATGGATATATCATATGACAGTGAACGAGTTCAGTTCTGCAGTCTACATGTTATTTTCGCCTGAAAAAAAATGTGAGGAGTACGAAAGCTGATTGAACTACAGTTAATATCATGGTCATAAGAAAGGTGAAGATAGTGTAATCCTACAAAGCAGCAATCCTATTTTATTGGACTACCAATAGTGGATTGCAACCAACGATCGACTAAGATATTCGCGTACTAGCGGTGTAGTACTCAGTCGTAGTCATTACTATAATACAAGACCTGCTAACATGCTTTC